AAATTGGATACATACATACATACTACTATATATACAGACATACATACACTCTAATAAGCTATGAGTTGTTAGAAGAATGGAGTGCAGATGGATTTTTCTGTGGACAAACTTTATTACATTTTATAGACAGAGTTTTCATGTTACAGGAAACTACAGAAAAATGTTGCCATCTACTGGCATTAAACAAACAAACAAGCATCCTAAAGTTTATTCTAACATCTGAAGCATGTTACATTAATCAGAATATAAATGGCCCTAAAACTGGACTTCTAATTCAAAAGTTATTTTTTCTGGATCCAATACAGCTCACTACCATATACATACTATGATTTCAAAACATATATTTTCATCGATCATAAAAGCTACTATAACCTTTCTAAGACACCTGGCTAAAAAACCAGGAGCCTGTGAGTTCCTGTCCTGCCTTACTCATGGGAGCCTGCTGAGTGACTTTGGGCTAATCATCCTCTCAGTCCAACCCACATCAAGAGTAGAAAATGGGGAGGATGGACTTTTAGATAAGTTCACTGTCTTGAGTTGTTTATAAAAATAATAAAGATGGGATATAAATAAATAAATAAAACATTGCTTTATGCTAATATTTAGCACAACAGCCAGCTTACAAAAATAATATAGTCAGCAAGGTCTTGAGAGGACAATGTGCTGTGGAAATACTACACCACAGTGGAATCAATTGACCCAATTAGACAACATCTGCTCACATTTGCATGCTTTTGAACTGCTAGGTTGACAGAAGCTGGGGCAAGTAATGGGAATTCACCCCATTATACAGCACTCGCATCTCGAACCTATAATCTCAGCGTCTTTAACCACTAAGACGTTGCGCCCCGAGATACCGAGATAGTAGCAAAGAACAATCATTTTCTGGTTTTACTGTCATCTAGTAGTTAGTTGGAGTATTGCAGCTCTAATATAGAATCCTGTACAGTACACTAACTGGAATTCAGGCAATTGTGAAAACAGACTTAGTTTGCACAGATAGATGTATGTTTTGGTTAAAAGCAAAAGAATTTATGTAGGTGCAAATATATTTAGAGAAATTCACTTGAAAGTGTTATTTTTCTATCTTTTTCATTACAAACTGAAAAATCTCCCAAAGTCAATTTCTTTACAAGCTCACATTCCATTGACAACATAGCTGACTTAATTATTTTTGGCCTAATGTAGAGTAGAGGTAGTCCTTGACTTGCAACCATAATGGAGCTCAAAATTTATGTGGCCAAGCAAGACAGTTTTTAAGTGAGTTGTGCCTCATTTTATGACCTTTTTCCATAATTGTTAAGCAAATCACTGCAGTTGTTAAGTGAATGTGGTTTCTCCAATTGACTCTGTCAGAATCCAGCTGGGAAGGTTACAAATGGTGATCACAGAACCTGAGGACAGAGTAACTATAATAACTATGTGCCAGTTGTTAAGCACCCAAATTTTGATCATTTTATTATGGGGAGAATACAATGTTGTAAGTATGAAAACTAGTCATGTAACCTTTTTTTAGTGGCATTGTGACTTTAAAGGGTCACTAAATGAATGGTTCTAAATCAATGCCCCTCCCCATTCTAATTATATGTAGCTATGACAATATGGTTCCATCTGTTCTGTTTCTGTGAAATATACATTTCAGAGCAGCAAATCTTAGAAGCACTGTTTTCTATAGTTAAGAGATGTACTGTATGTCCATGATTATCATCTACTGATCTCATCAGTCATTATAGATATACACTTTTCTGGCTTTGTACAAGAATTCAGCATTCTTGAGAAAGCATGTCATATAGAAAAACAAAAATGAAAGGCCATATTTGAACCATCTGAGAGCTTGGCTGACAGTTGTGAGAAGGAACTGTAACATCTTTTAGATTGGTACTGATAAGGGGATTCCAAAGGATCTTTGTTATTACTCCTTTGTGCATCTGCTCTTCAAATATACACAAGAACGCAGCTTGTTTAATCTTTAGATAAAGATTGGATAAATGATTCTGTTTAGCTTTGTGAGAGAAAAGAATTGTGGATTATTTCTCTAATGGGAACACTTCTACTTAGGGAGATTACCATATTATAAATTAGCATTTTTCATTTGCAGATGAAACTAAGCTGGCAGGAATAGCCAAAACCCTAGATGGCAGGCTCAAGATCCAAATTGATCTTGACAAACTTGAACACTGGGGCCTATCTCACAAAATGAAATTCAATGTAAAGAAAAGTATATTGTTACAAGTCTTACACTTAGGCAAGAAAAACCAAAAGTACACATATAGATTGGATGAAACCAGGCTTAATAGCAGTAACCGTGAGAGGAATCTTGCAGTCTTAGTGGAATCAATTAAATATGAGCCAGCAGTGTGAGACAGCAGCTAGAAAAACCAATGCAAACCTAAATTGCATTAACAGAGGGATTGAATCAAGATCATGTGAGGTACTAATACCACTCTATAAAGCCTTAGTAAGATCACACCTAGAATACTTTACCCAGTTTTGGTCACCACACTATAAAAAAAGAAAGAGTGCAGAGAAGAGCAACAAAGATGATTAGGGAACTGGAGACTAAAACATATGAAGATTGGTTGCAGGAACTGGGCATGGCTAGTCTAGTGAAGAAATGGATCAGGGATGACATGATAGCAGTTCCAATATTTGAGAGGCTGTCACAGAGAGGAGGGGATCAACCTATCTTCCAAATCACCTTAAGGGCAGACGAGGATTAATGGATGGAAACTGGTCTAGGTGAGATTCAACCTAGAAATAAGAAGAAATTTTCTGACAATGAGAACAGTCCACCAATGGAACAGCTTGCCTTCAGAAGTTGTGGTTGCTTCATCACTGGAAACGTTCAAGAAGATACTGGACAATGTTTGTTAGAAATGGTATAGGGTCTAGGGTCTCCTGCTTGAGTAGGGGGTTGGACTAGATGACCTACAAGGTCCCTTCCAACTCGGTTATTCTATTCCATTCCATTCCATAAATCTAACAGACAAATTGAGGAAAGGGTGTATCTGTTACAGTAAAATGTATGTGAAACCCAAACAGGATTTCTTTTTACACCTGTGTATGTTACATAGGAATGAGATTTTATGGAAACATTATATAAAGGTTTATTTTACAGAAAAATTTAACATTGCAGAGTCACTTAGATGAGATGGGCAGCATAGAAAAAATATTTTTTTCCATTCAAAATCCACCAAGCTGAGGTTTATTAATTTAAGAAAATGCAGATAGCCCATTTTTTCAATAGTGACAGATAAAAGGAGGTTTGGTGCTAGAGGCAGATTACCCAGTTATGAGATGCAGATAAAATACCTGCTAAATACAGCTAAATAATGACCCCTCCCTTAAAGAAAGTAGCATTCTTGCATGTCATTTCCTACCATAGATGTGTTAAGGCTGTTTGTGTCATCTCTCTAAACTAGTACTCATGAGAATGGAAATCTATCACAAAATACTCATATGGATTACAGGCAATTTAGCACAAGAGAGTATGCAGGTTAAGTACATAGAAGAACACATTAAAAATTATTAACCTGAATGTATAATACGGATGTTCAACCTTGGCAAATTTAAGAATTCCCCAGGCAGCATGGGATGAAGAACAAGAGCCAAAGAAGTGATTCTCTAGCAAAGAATGGATTTACAAAATACACAGGAGAATGTTTACTCAGCCTAAATGCATTCCTTTAATTTTCTTGGTCTTGCAGTGATTAATTAATGATTAAGTGGAATGTAAAAAATTTAACCCATTTGGGAAGTATTTCTCATGGATTGTAGTGCCTACTCCTATTGATATCTAATCTAACATCTCCCTGCTAATTTGTTGACTCATTGTGTATTAATTGTTAAAATCTAAAGGCATTAATTGTATTAATTCTGAAAATCTAATTATCTCCTAGTGACCAAACTAAAAGATGGTTTTCTTGGCTACTATATGGAAACTGTTTGCTACTATCTTTTTGTGAGATTTTTTCCAGCTTCCCAATTTAACCCTCAGCAGCCCCAATGAGAAAATGTTGGGCTATTGTCCTGCAACTATTGGCAATACACCTGCAAAATTATTAATATTTACAACATTTGGCAAGCTCCCTTGGAATAGCCATTTTCCTTTCAGATGAGGTTTCTACTGCATGGAAATATCCAGACTTGTTTAAGGCATCTGTGGAATATTATGGGGTATCAGTGTTTTCCGTTAGTCTCCGAGTTTTTAAAGTCACTATTTAAAGCCAGATCTTGGCATTAGATGGCGCCACTGCTTTCCCCATGGATATTCCCATTGAGATTCCCAGGCCGTCCTTGGAGCATCTCACTGAGGGATGAAAGGGGGGGGGGGAGCTCCGATTACGCTATAATAAAACACTGCTTTCTTACAAAATGTATGTTTGTGTGGAGTAACAATTAGAGTAGCTATGGCACCGTGATAACGTCCGATAAGTATTTCATCTCACTGAAATTCTCTTCAGGTTCTCTGGAATTATGAGCTTTTTCCCATTTCTGTGACGTTTGGTTCGGTCCTCCGCGTTGTTCACGAGACATGAATGACCTTTCTTCTGAAAAAAAAAAGGAGTAGCGGGAGGGTGGGGAGAAATTCAAACGCGGGAGAAGAAAGTTTATGGACCTCGCCTTCCATCTAAAGATGGAAAAGAAACGCTACTGTTATAATCTTATTGTCGCGAAAAGACCGTTAGCGCGTACCATTTACACTTGATTCTTTCTCAAACAGACGCATCCCCCCCCCCTTCTTAGCGGGCAGGTGGTTGGTTCTATTCCGTTGAAATCGCTTCGGCCCAACGGGCGCCCTGAAAACTCTTGGCTGTTTAGGGTCGGCCAAGAAAATCCGGCCGCGCTGCCCCCTCTCCTCTGGTCACCGCCGCCCGTCCCTGCCTCGTCTCTCCCTGCTTTCCCCGGGGAAGGTGAGGGAGGGCGGTGGGGCACAGTTCTGCCTGTTCGGTTTCTCCTCTTACGGGCTCTTCTCCTGGCTTGCCCGGTCACTTCCCGAGGCTCCCTCCCTGAGGCTCCCTCTCTCTTCGTCGCCTCAGGGGGTCAGGCGTTGTCAGAGAGGTGGCCAGGAAAGGGGTCGGGAAATACTGGCTCAGAAAACGTTTGAAGGGACAACTCAAATTGCCTTCCCATCCAGAGGTTTTCTTCAAAAATGGAGTGATCTTGGAGGCTGTGCTTTGCACAATGGTGTATGTCTCTCTCGCCTTGTTTTTAAAAAGAAAAAGGTTGAGCAGCGATCCTGTTTGGTGGCAAGCAAAGCTCCACGAGGGACACCATCCCAGGTTTCACACTGATAATTCAGTATTTGGCGTAGTAAGTGTCATTTTTCTGAGAAAAGAATACAGGTAGTCCTCGAGTTATCAACCACACTTGAGGACAAAATTTATGTCGCTCAGCGAGACAGTTAAGTGAATTTCATCCCCCTTTACTGCCACAATTGTTAAGTGAATCATCACAGTGGTTTAATTAGCACAATTGTTAAGTGAATCTTGCTTCCCCATTGATGGCTTGTCAGAAGTTTGCAAAAAATGATCACATAACTCTGGGATATGGCAACTGTCAAATATGAGTCAGTTGCCAAGTGGCTGAATTTTGATCACATGACTGCAGATCCTGCACTGGTCATAAATTTGAAAAATAGTCATAAGTCATTTTTTTCAATGCTATTCTAACTTTGAACTGTCACTAAATGAACTGTTGTAAATTGAAGACTGTATGATGGCCACTTGTTTTCTAAAAGAATATATTTTTCCTCTAATTTCTGTAATCTGGCTAAAGTACAGAAAAACAATTTATTCATGGGCTTTAGAAAGTGATGTGATAGTCCATGTCATTTTAAAATCTATGTCTTCCATTAGAAACAAGATGCCTAACCCTAAAGAGACTACTTCAAGTGACTGCAATGACTCTCAAACCACAGATTGTAGTTCCAGAAAACCGAGGGAGCATGAAGAAACCCAGGGTGGAGACATTCCCAAACTCTGTCCACCTAACATCCCATCTTGTATGTGTAATTTAGACTGAATGCTAGAAAAATCAAATATTAATATTTACAGAAAAATAGCATGTTACCCCCAAAATTGTTTCAAATTTATAATTAGTGGTACAAATTGTGATTTAATAAACATAGACTAGACTGCACAGAGACATTTCCAAGATAATAACTGGTACAGCAAAATTCAGGCAATTTAATAATTTAGTGAAGTAAAAGATCTTGAGAGAGTTAATATTTGTGTAATTTTTCAGAAAAGTGGAATGTATGCAAATTATTCAACTTTCAAACTCCAAACACATAGCAAAATGATTATTACTTTTTTGATATTTTCATTAGGTGAAAAGTTGAAGTAAAAAGTAAAACTAGGTTAGAGTACAGATTCTGTATTGAAATAATTTCATTTGAAGAAATTTCTTTATTTTAAATTTATCTGCCCTGATTCTGGCAATTCTCAAAATTTGCAGAAAAGATTGTCCCATCCCTACTATCTGTATATTTGGTTTTGTCCAGTTTGGGGGTTTGAAGCAATATTTTTGTTATATCCTTGGTTCCCAGATCTTTGGTTCTAGACAAGTACTATCAATTCTGAAGGGTAGTAACATTCATATATAATTTGCTGTTCTTTGGAGAATTTTGTAATATTTTTCTGTGAGGTTTATGATTATGATATTAGAAATACTTGGAAATTACTAATAACATCCTATATTTTTTAAACTGGAATATTTTAATCATGCTTATATAATTATAATTCCTCAGAGTCTACCACAGACAAAAAAAACACTTTTGTTTGCTTGTTTAGAAGTGTAAAGGATCAGCAGAGTTTGCATCAAAAAAAGATACTTTGTTTAATTATAAATAGTACATGTCTTTAAAAACATCCCTAATTGGTGGCCCAAGTAAGCACCATTCTATTTTATTTTTATATAGCAAATTCTCCCCAAATTCATTCTATCTCAGAGCTCATGGAAACAGCCAATGAAGTCTCAAAAATGACAATAGCCCATGAAATTATTGTCAACCATGACTTCAAACTGCAAGAAGTGAATTTATCACCAAACAGGTAGGTTTTATTTTCTCAATGCTCTCAAAACTTTTCAGTTAACTTCGAATAAAGCTACATTTTTAATTCATTATGTGCTATTCATTATTGTCAACTCTTAACAGCCATACAGATAGATTTTTTCCATGATGATCTTTCTCTAACTTGTTTTTTCAGGTTTTCTAATGGTGCATTGATCACCACTGTAACTGAGTCCTATAGGTCGTTCTACTCTTTCTTTCTACCTTTTACAGCATTAGAATCTAGAGCTAGGTCTTTACATGATAGTTGGGAAAAATCTGCTGTATGTCTTCTTAGCGAATATGGTTGAATATGATTTTCATTTAACCTCTCATTAGTGTCTAGATTATTTTATTGCCAAATAAGCAATTGTTTTTGTTAATGGAATGTTGTTAAGCTGAGTTTGGCTACTTGAGTTGCATAAACCCAAGACATAGCCAGAACACTTGGTGACTTAAAAATTACATATAGATTTCATAAATAATTTTAATAAAAAATGTAAGGCTATGATTAAGAGGCAGAAGGTTGACATTTACTATAAAGACTCAAAGTGGGAAAGTTGAAACTGATGATTAAACATTCATGTTGTAGATTATTTTTGTATTGTTCCAATTATGTGTCAATACATTTCTGTTTTTATTTGCATGATTCAGAGAATTGATTTTTAATAAAACTCTAATCTAGATGAACTTTATGGGCCACTCTCAGTTAAGATGTGTAGCATATTGTTAGCTCTGACCCTAACTTCTCAAGATATAATAACAAACCATTGTGCAAACTCTACCATTTTGGACAACTCCCCCATTTGTTTTTCAATCCATACCAATCTGGAATGGTGGTTTGGCATTCCCCTAGGACAGAGAATTTTCTTTTTTAAAAAAAAATCTTTTAGGACTGATAGTTCTTTGAAAGAGCCAGACAGTAGTCCCTGTTACATTTCCCAGAATATATTTTATGTGCACCTACTCTTTAAATTTCATAGGATCATCTATTTAGTATTTCCTTACAAGATTGATTAGACTGAAAAATAATGTTTATCAATGAGTGAAAAAGTATATGAAACTAGGCCTCCAGACAATATTGTAGGTAGAAAAAATATTAACAGCAGCTAATTTTATCTCACTACAGTTTAGAAAGCAGAGTGAAAGAAACAGTGCACAAAGCTTTTTGGGATAATCTGAAAGAACAACTCTTCAAAGTACCACCAGACTATTCTCATGCTATCAAGCTACTTCAAGAAATCAAAGAAGTAAATTATAAAGGGGAGTGGGAATGTCTTTATTCATATCTAACAAATTGATTTTTGTGATAAAAACCTATTACAGGTACAAGTAGTTCTCGACTTAGAACCACTCATTTAGTGATTATATAGACTGAAAAAAGTGACTTATTACTACTTTTCGAACTTATGATCATTGCTGCATCTCCATAGTCAAGTGATCAAAATCCAGGTGCTTGGCAACTGGCATGTATTTATGACAGTTGCAGTGTTCCTGGGTCATGCAGTCACCATTTCTAACCTTCCCAGCCAACTTCTAACAAGCAAAATCAATGGGGAAAGCCAAATTCATTTAATGACCACATGATTCGCTTAACAACTGTGGTCATAAGTTCTTTAGCAACTGTCTCGGAAAGCAATTGTTCATAAATACAATGGTAGTAATGGTAAAAAAATATTTTATTGATATACCCTCCCTCCCACAAATTTCTGTACATGATAACAATGCACTCTCGAGTCAGAGTAATACTGGCATTGCCTCATGTGAGCTTTTATCTGAATGAGATGGCAGCATCCAGCAATCTTTCCAGCATCTCTCTCAAGCACATGGTTTGTTTAGTGATGATGTACCTTAGCAACCATTTCACTGGAACCATTTGTGATAGTTAAACAACGACTACCTGTAACTTAGCACTTGTACCATCTTCCCTAAAAGGCTTGAAGTTAGTGCTGTCACTTCATCAAAGGCAGCAGCAGAATTATAGGACTTTTGAAAAAGAGTTAACCATTTGAATGTTTTTTTTTAAAAAAAGATTTCTTTTTAAACTAGAACATTTTTATGACTCATTTGCCTAAAATAACAGTGGAAGTTAGTATCAGTCTCTTTGCAGCTGCAAACCTTTTGAGGATATCTTTGTTCTACATGTATTTGGCACTTTATTGAAACCTGCATGGAGAGTAAAATTAACCTGGAAAGAAATTACCGTATTTTTCAGAGTATAAGATGCATCGGAGTATAAGATGCACCAAGACTTTGAAGAGGCAAATAAAAAAAAGTTTTTGCACTCTGCAGACCTCCCAAAAATGGCCCATTTTTTGCAAAAATGGGCCTGGTTTTTGTCCAAAAAAGAGCATGGATTGCCATTAGGAGGATTGTAGAGTGCTCCTGGGGGTGGGGTGGGGGTGCAAAAACGGCTTGTTTTTCGCTCATTTCTGCCCTCCCCAATGCCCAGGATCACTCTGGAAGCCTCCTAAAGGCTATGCACGGCCATTTTGGTGAAGGGAGCAGGGTTTCGGGAGGCAAAAAAATGCTGTACTCAGTGTATAAGACACACCCAGATTTTCACCCTCTTTTTTGAGAGAAAAAGGTATATACTCCAAAAAATACGGTAATTAAAATAGATTTTTTTTATTTAAGATGTTGCTGTATCTAAAACTATTATATATGAGATGAAAAGTAATGTCTTCAATTCCATAACTTTCACTAATTAAAATATCCCCATTAAAATTAAACAGGAAAATAATACTTGAAATAAAACAATATTTTGTTATAGATTGTTATTCTCGAAATAATCACTATCATTCACTTCCTTCTTCTGCCAATGACTGACAAGCTTCTTAAAGTTGTCACAAAATAACTTCGTACTTTGTCTTTTCAACCAGGCCATGACAATCCTTTCTGCCTCTTCTTTTGAGTTAAAGAGATGCTCACAAAGTTAGTTTTTAGATTTTGAGAAAAGATGGAAATCACATGGTATCCTCGCTCAGCTTCGTTCCCAGTTAGATGCTGGGATAGTTGGGATAGGTCCACTGGAAGCACCTGGGGCAAGTCCTTGTTATCTGGAAACAATTTGATCCTGCTATTCCTGAAGATGTAAACAGAATCCTAGGGATTATGAGAGCAAGCAACTGTGTTTTAGATCCATGCCCTTCTTGGCTTGTGAAAGCTTCCTGGGAGATGACATACAGGTGGATTTTGGCAGTGATTAATGATTCCTTGTAGCAGAGGGTAGTGCTCCAACATTTTAAGGACCCTATGGTCTGCCCTCTTCTTAAGAAGTTATTGCTGGATTCCACTCTCTTAGATAATTTTTTATCTGTCTCCAATCTTCCTTTTGGGGAAGGTTGTTGGGAAGATGGTTGTGCGGCAGTACCAGAGGTTTCTGGATAAAATGGATTATCTAGATCCTTACCAGTCATGATTCAGGCTTGGATATGGAAAAGAAATGACACTGATCATCCTTTTTTATGATCTCTAGTGGAAGCGGGGTAGTGTATTCATCCTTGCTCTACTTGACTTCTTGGCAGTCTTCAATACCATCAACCATGGTATCCTTCTGGTGCAGCTTTAGGGATTGGGAGGGGTGTTGTCTATTGTCCTGGTTCACTTTCTTCCTCTGTTGCCACTGTCAGTGTTGATAGGAAGCGATAAGTCCAAGCCTTGTTCACTACTTTGTAGGGTCCTGCAAGGCTTGATATTCTTTCCACTTCTGTTTAACATCTACATGAAGCCACTAGTGAGATCATTCATCACCATGGATTGAGATAGCATCAATATGCTGATGACATTTAGCTGTATGTCTCAGCCCATGGTAAGTTAAGCAGTACCGTGACCTCCCTCTCACAGTGCTTTGAGATTATTAAGGGCTGGATGGAAAGCAACGGGCTACTACCTTTGGTCTTGGATGGGTGGCACACTGCCCCAAATAGATTCAGTGCATAATCTGGGCTTTTTCCTGAATTCACAACTCCTGCCGTGAGGAGCAGATTGCAGTTGTGGCCAGGAGGTCCTTTGTATAACTACAGGTAATGTGCCAGTTACATCCTTTCCAGCAGTCACTACTCATGGTCACTCACAGCCTAGTTACCGCCTGACTTGACTATTGCAATGCCTCTACATGGGTCTGCGCTTGAAAAGCATCTGGATTGATTCAAAATGGATTAGTCTGCACGGTTTTGTACAGCTCCAAGTGTGCATATGTTTCACTACTTCTGCGGGAGCTGCATTAGCTGCCAATTTCTTCTGGATGCAATTCAAGGTGCTGATTGTCACCTTTAAAGCTCTTCATGGCTTGTGACTGGGTTATCTTAGGGACCGTCTCTTGCCAGTTTCATCCATCTGATCCACTAGAGCAGGGAAACAAGGAATGCTGTAGTGGTGAAATTCAATTTTTTTTACTACCTGTTCTGTGAGTGTGACTTGGTGGGCGTGGCAGGGGAAGGATACTGCAAGATCTCCATTCCAACCCCACTCCAGATTGAGGATACTGCAAAAATCTCCATTCCCACCACACTCTGGGGCTAGACAGAGGTGGCATTCTCCAAACTACTCAAAATCAGTTCTGCAGAACCTGCTGGATTTCACCCCTGAAATGGTGCGTATCTGGCGTAACCCAGAAGAAAGGCCTTGTCTGTGGTAACTCCCTCCCTATGGGATATCATCCCTGCAGAAATTACACTGGTCCTCACTTTGACACTCTTTTGTAAGGCTCTGAAGACTTCGTTTTGCCAATTAGGCTGGAAAACCCAGAATAGGATGGAGCCCATCAAGTGTTCATTTGACTGTGTTGTTGCTAGGCGGGGTGTGTGGTTATTGTTTCTTATTTTCTTTACTGGGTTTTTACTGTGTCTAAGCTGCCCAGAGTTACTGTGAGGGAGCGGCCATATATGGACTGTATGATGGATGGGGGCACAATGAGAGTCAGCTTGTCGATTAGAAAGGTCGGCAGTTCAAAGATTCGAATCCCTAGTGCTGCATAATGGAGTGAGCTCCCGTTACTTGCCCCAGCTTCTGCCAACCTAGCAATTCCAAATAGGAAAATAGAAAAATAGGAACCACCTTTGGTGGGAAGGTAACACCATTCCGTGCGTCTTCGGCATTTAGTCATGCCGGCCACATGACCACAGAGACTTCTTTGGACAGCACTAGCTCCTTGTCTTTGAAATGGAGATGAGCACCGCCCCCTAGAGTTGGGAACAACTAGCACATATGTGCGAGGGGAACCTTTACCTTAATTTCAAAGCGTTTTAGATGGCTTGTGAGGTATGAGGCCTACCATTATCATGTTGCAGCAAAAATTCTTCCTTGTAGTTTTGAATCCTGCTAAATTGTTTCAAAATTTTGAGTGTTGCAGTAGAGAATTCTGAGCTGGTAGCTCAAAGAAATAGATAGGAGTTTTCCTAAAAAAAAGAAATCCCCCACATAGGCATAAAATTTACGGCTGAAACCTACATTTTAATTCTTTTTCTTTAGCTGAATTTTTGTAATGATATTCCATGGGCTGATAGTTTGTCTCTTGGTGAGCTCATGTTTCATCAGCTGAACAATGCTGTGAAATTCTCCACCTTCATTCTCATAGTGTGACAATCTTTGCTGGCAAATTTCAACTCTTGAAGCTTTTATCTTCGGAATCAGCATTTTGAAATAAGGAGGAACATCAACATTTGACCCTTTTCTTATTAGGAAATATCAAGCTTGATAGAAGTTTCTCTTTCAGTGATCTGCTGACTGTCCTTAGTTAGGTCATCAACCTTTCTTATGTGAAAATTGTTGCTGTCATAGGTTGTCCACTTCATTCTTGATCACATATTCACATCTTTACAGTTTTTGGCCCTGTACTCAACTACACATACCAATAAACAACCTGCATTTGGTGATGAATTTCAATTGGAAACACTCCCCCAGCTGTCTAAAATTCATTCTGATCAGTATTCACTGTGGAGTCCCATTTCACAAAAATAGCAACAATCTTTTCTCATAGCAATTTTCTGCCAAATAAAATGGCTAAAGAACATATCAATACTGCCATCTGTTGGTGATTTACAACATTAGAAGCACCATGCCATTCATCCAACCATATTTTTATTACAATAATGTATGTTATTGAGCTTGAATAGTTAAAATCAATTTGAATATTTGCTTTTACAAATGTTCCATTCCTCCTCCATTCTGGTTTATAGACTCTGCTGTCTTTGCTTCTGCCACGACAAACACGTTTAAAGAGTCAGATTGAAGAATCACTAGACATCGAATTGATAAAGCAGGAAGCTGAGCATGGAGCTTTGGATATCCCCAAGCTCACTACATATATCTTAGGCACCATGGCAATGCTCTGTGCACCTATCAGAGATGAAGAAATACAAAGTCTGCGAATCATGGCAGACCCAGTTCATTTGCTCAGGTGGGTTTGAGTTTTGAGAAAATACAATCCTGTACAAGTCATTATCTTATTTATGAAAATTATACTGATATAGAATGCATAACCTTGTAGGGCAACAATTTCCTATTTTAATTTTATAAAAAAACCTTGCAGTTCATCATTTTTCATCTCTAGGAGTAATAAAATATGCACAGAAAAATACCTGTTTGTTCAATTTAGACTTTTTGCAGGAATTAAATGATAATACTATATGCAACAATAGCTGTGGACCTGGGCTCCTGAATTTTCTATTTCCTATGTTGGCACAGCTCTGAAAAAAGAAACAATCGGCTTCCAAGTTTAGTTACTGAAACGAATATACCTATGTTGGATATAGGATTTACATCAGCTGTTTTAAATTTATCTTTATTTATTTAAATTTATTGGCTGTTCAACTCCAATCAAAGGTATGGAATTTGGTTCTAGTCAAGGGGCTAAATTTGGAGCCAGATTCACGTTTACATTTCACCAGGAAGATTAGGTGATATGCAGTGAGGCTTAAGAGGGTAATTTAAGGCTTATTCCCAACATTATCAATGCAATAGACAAAAGAATATTTGCTTGTCTGATAAAAGGAAAATAGTCACCATGAACCAGCAGATTGGGACAGCATTTTCTTTTCTAGCCCAATGACAGAAGAAAAGCATTTTAGCCAGCCCTTGGAAAAGAAACAGAGGTTAATCTTTGGATATGAATGCCAGATGAGTTGGCTTCATTACAGAGGATCTCCATCTGTGATATAAACCTATATAATTTAGGATACAATTTATAATCTAATAATCTATAATTTAGAGTCTGATTCCTTAAGGCTAGAAATGGTGATTTAATTACAATGCAAAATGATTTTGTTCTTGTTACCTATGACAGAGAGATCTTCCGAGTTCTGAACCTAATGAAAATGGATATGGTCAACTTTACCATACAAAGCATTAGACCCCATCTTTTGGAGCACTCTGTGCAATATGAAAGGAAAAAATTTCAGGAACTCCTGAACAAACTACCAGGCAGGTATCGAAGAGTGAGCAATGGACATTTGCTAGATTGTTTTGTAAACTAATAACTTACGGAGTCAAAACCATTAGGCCCTTGTCAACATTTACTCACAAATAAATGCAATAAGGATTTTAACATTTTAAGAAATACATAAGAGAATATTTAGAGTCCTATCTTCTATTATATTCCCTTGTCTAGTTACATTTGACTACTGTGAGTTTGTATGTTTCTTGCTCCTGTCAGTTGGGTAAACTCCAGTAGTTCTGAAGATAATTTCATAATTTCAAGGAATACCAGAAAAAGTTTTTCTGAAATCAGAAAAAAATGGATAAATTGAATTGTTAAACTTGATTAATTAAAAATACAGGCAAGATATAATGCTAAGAATATTACTTCACAAATTGAAATGAAAATTACTAATATGTGAGAATTCATGGAGTACACTTGATATATAAAAAAATCAGCATCTATCCAAAAAATAAGGAAAGAGAAATTACCGAAAAAACCAGCCCTGTTTCTTTTCCAAATTTTTCATCACTGCAGACAGTCTAGCTTATACAACTGACTGGCTACACAAGGCCGTAACCAAAGTATCAAATTCTGATTTGCTTCCTTCTTCATCCACCTCTGGAACCAATGGACCATCTGTTCCCACTTCTCCTATATCTGCTGGAAAAGTCTCATTTATTCATAGTCCCACTGCTGTGTTAAATCAAGCGTATATGGATTTGCTGGACTGGGAGCTTGGAAGAGAACACTATCCTGAGGTAAGAGGTTCCTTTAAAAGAATTGTTTCTCAATACCAGGAAAGATTTAAAAAATAGTCAGGGAAGCATAAGCTTAATTCAGCAAAGTACAACTCTAATCTAGAAATGTCCACACAGCAGCTAAATGGTTATGAGGAAAGTTCACACATGCACTGGTATTCAGGAATTTCATCACACTGGACCAATGAAGAGGAATGAATAAGAATATATAGGAAGAGAAAAAACAAACAGCTATGGTGGAAATATGCTACAGATTGTCAACCCTGACAGAAGATCTAAATATTGTCTTCTGGACCAGATTATAGAACTTTCAGGAGAGACGCAATCATAACAGACACAATCATAATGGAAGACTATAACTATGGATATCTATTGGGAAAAACTTAGCCAATGTCCAAATTTTCAAAACTCTTCAGTTGTCTTTCATTTCCAATAGGGTACTGGCTCTCCTAGATTTGATCATAACCAATAGGGAAGAATTAACTTTAAAAACTTTTAATTATTCAAAAAAAAATTTTTTAAAAGAGCAAAAACAATCCCAGGCTGCATAAACAGAAATATAGTGTCAACATTAGAAAACAAAATTGTCCCCTATAAATTCTGAATTGGTTAAACCAAACGTAGCTAGAATACTACATCCAGTTGCATTTTTTGGAAGGCTTAAAGCACAGCAACCAATATGAATTATTTGCTGAAAATGTTTAAACATGCCAGAGGTTCATCTGTCAGGGATGTTGAAAATTGGATTCCTGCATTAGACGGGGGTTTGGATTCAATGATCTCCAAGATTTCTTCCAGCCCCTACTTTTTTGTGATCTTATGAATATTCTCTCTTTGTAGACTATGTTGATGGACAAAGCGCGTTTGCATGCTCTACAAGTAGAAGTGAATCAGCTAGTCATTATTGCATCAGTCTTATTAGTGAGCAGCAATATATGTGGAAATGAGTTATTCAGTTCACCAGGATGTGGCAATAGGCTGAAAAGAGTAATAAAAGCTCTTCTGGAAGGTCTCCCTGATATAAGGCAAGCTATTTTAATACTTTCTGAAGACAGGAATGATATTTCCTAGCTCAGTCTTTTGCAGGTTATACTGAGCTAAAATCTTGTGATACTTTATGGAGAAGGGTAGGCAAGGCTGGTTAACAAGGCAATCAATATACAAGACTAGAATTGATCTAACTAACACCCACTCCACATTATTTATGAACTCAATAATATGGTACTAAACCAAAGCTTGCTGAACAAACCATAATGGCCTGGTTTGTATACAATGCAAAGCTCAAAAGACTAGCTTACAATAGGGGAACAATTATCTACTGTTTTCTTTCTTGCCTAGCTAAATCTTGTCCACTAACCTGTTAACAGGAAAGTGTATAATTTTAAGATTGTATTTGGCAATTATTTAAGAACCATAGATATCTTAGAGTTTTTTGAATTGGGGTAAATCCTCATTTATTCCCCTAATAAATCACCTTTATAAAGATTGCTGCATTCTTGGTGCTAAAAGTGATTTCTCCCCACTATTGGGTTGATAGAAAAGGCTACAAGCAAGCACACAAATTAAACCCAAACTCACTATATAACTAAAAAAAAGTTAAGTGTTATTCCCGACCAATTATGTTATGCTCTGTGCTTTATTGTAACTTTCTCTCTGATTTACCACCACCGTAATTGAAGTTTACTCTACAATGTTCATCAATTCAAAATAATAAAATGAAGAAATGAAATTTAATATACACAGTATGGTAATGTATAATGCCATTGTATAAAAGACTTTCTGTAAAAATATGTTAATAATATATGTAAAGGTAACAAGTATAGAACAGACCAAATTCTGGAAGGGAAGGCTATACTAAAGTGCAGACACCCCTGTTAAAAAGCAGAAACATTTTCAAGACTCTGTCCCTCCTCACTTGCAAAAGGTGGAACTCTAGCAGGTTCTTTGGGAGGAATTCATCAGATGGTCAAATGTGGTAGGCAGCAGAAATCCCACAAGTACTTTGGTACATTGTATCAGTCTTTATGGAACAATAAAGATATATCTTAAAGGGCATTCACTGGACGAGCAACAATTTGAATTTTGGAACCAAGCATTAAGCAAATTATATACATACAGTATCTCCCTCAAGAGAACTGGAATAAAAACATTAATTCTAATTAATTAATTGTTGCCCAATCTTGTTCCATTTTTTGTCAGAAACTTAGTTTTGAGAAAGTATATTAAACTGATTTCATTGTCATACGTTAAGAATCTTTCTCTTCATTGAAATTTTCAATTGACAGTTAACATGCTTGTTATTATATGATTAGATCAGAAAATGCCTTAATGGATATCAGCAATCAAATACACATGGAAGTAAATGCCATACTTAATCAGTTGGGTCACCCTGCTCTCAGTACTGATAAGGCTGCTTCACTCAAAGGCCAGCTTAGGAACCTTGAAGATAAAAACAATGCTGTACGGGTTCTAATTGGTAAGTTATTGAAGTTTGGTTTGATGCAAATCTATTTGGACACAAAAAGTGATGAATTTCAGCTCCAAACTCTGAATCACAAATACCATTCACAAAATATGTGTTCAATATGTAGAATGATTAGTATAAAAGTAAGTTTCTAGAATACTCAAAATACTTCGAAAACATTTTTGCATTTATTTCTCTTAAGAAGCAGTTTGAGTGCTATTTTTAATACAAATTGCCAGTATTTAATATTGTCAATTAGTAATTATGCCCCTGCTTGAATGGGTTAACTAAAGTATCTTTAACTCTGATTTAAATATTTTTAAATTGAAGCAAAGTTTTAGTGAAAATTAGTGAAAATCTCAGTAAGATAGCAGAATATGTGTCCAATATACAGCGCCTGGCATTTATAACAAGATAAATTTACTTTTTATTTCCAATGGAGTCCTTACATTAGAGTTATGATTGCTGTTAATCAAATGTACTACTTGGGATGTAGAATATGTCTTGAAAATCTTAATAATTTACCAAATGCACAAGCTGTCAGCAGATGAATTTAAATACTTTTTGAGTTTTAAAATATAATTTAAAAACAAATTTTAATTATTTTGCCACCAGTGTACTGTACAAGCTTGGCTCTTTAAAAAGTTGACACTATCCTGAATTTTTCTTTATAACTTTGCAGTTAACAATTAGTGAGAGCCCCAAAGGGTGCAGCCATAATTATAGCACTCTAATCTATTTCCAAATCTCTCTTAATTTCCACAGAGCAACGGATCCAGACTTTTCTTAGACACTGTTTGTATCCTGGTGGCCAAAACGCTAAAAATCTACTGCAAGGCCTTACTCCTATTCAGGAAGAACTATTGGAAATTGGTCAGAGGTTTGGTAGTTTGATTCATCACAATAGACAGGTATTTGGTCCATACTACTCAGAAATACTGAAGAAATTGCTGCTTCCAGGGGCAAAGTCTGAAACAGGGAAAGTTTCTTCTTAACAACCTAACGAGGCAGATCATGTGACGGCAAGGAGAGGGGAGATTCAAACTGGCAATTGTTCAGACAGTACTTTGATGTAAAATTCAATGTGATCAACGGAGCAGCTGTCTTGCTCTTTGCTGCTGTATTCCAAACTGGGTCACTGAAGTTGCAAGGTACAGCTAATAATACCAAACTGACAATGCCAGTTTGCTGCAGTAAACCTTTAAACAGCTCAAAATGTTGTCCTGTGATTTTAAACTAGCTAGTACATGTTATTTCAATTGGGAAAAGTAACTTTAATATCCCATTCCTATGATTAGAATGTGTTTTAATATTTTCAACAAAACATCAGTTAATATAGAACTGTAGTTTTAAAATACTCGGTACAGACTAATATACCACAACAACCCATACAGAGATATCTAATTTTATTAATTTACTCAGTTCTAACTCATACAGTTATGAAAAACAAACAACAAAACGACTGCTGGAAGCTCAGAAATATTTACAGTCTCGCCTTGTTGTAGTGAGGTCAGTCTATGTTGTTGCACAGATTGGTTATGTTTGGTACCACAAAAAAAAGAGAGACAGAATAATTTTTATATACAGAAAGTAAAAAGGAAATAGTTCAAGTATCAAAATACAAAGACAGATTAAATAACATTTTATTACAAATCAGTCCCACTGCCATACATCACAATTAGCATAAAAGTGTTGATATTCAAACTGCCTATTACGAAGAATCTGCCTGCCTTCTTCAGAAGCAAGCATAGCAGAAAATCCTGCTGATAGACATTCATACTGATCATGCAAACAGAGGCAGTGAAGGAGTGAAATATCACCCAGCATTTTTATTTTCACAGGCAAAGAAGGTATTGAAAAAAAGAGGTATCATTAGATACCTGTCTGCAAGAACCGCACAGCTCACCACTTGAAGCTGCTTTAGAATTCTTTCCCAAAGAAGGCTGGGCAGATTGTCATGTACCTCAAATTCAGGATTTCTCTCACAAGCTAAGAAAGTCTAAAGGCCAGTGTGAGCTGATACTAGTGTGTAAATATATAAAACAAAAAACAAAAAATCCTACAGGAGTTTTGATTTTCATAAACGGATTTTCCATTCAAAAGATAAGCAGTAGCTCATCCATCAGAGCATTTATAAAGTGTTCTCATCTTGGACTCAAATGAAGTAAAAATAAGCCTATACTTTTAGATTATCCTTTTTGAAAAGGCGTTCTAGCAAAAGCAGCACAGGGAGATGTTATTTCAGCACAAATGACTGCTTACAATAAGTGTCGTATTTTAAAAGTCCAATAAACAGATTAAGTGCTAACTATAGATGGTATTCTCCTCTATGTGCTGCAAAACATCACAGAGAGGCAAAAGTCTCAAATACTTTGGAGTCTAGAAACAGCTAAAATCATAGGAAAACTCAAGTCCAAAATGGCTTGAATTGCCTTCTTAAAAGGAATGCTTCATCAGGAGATGCACCCATGGATATTGCTATGTCCATGTAAACTCAGAAAGGAAGCACCAAATTACTGGAAGAAGCAAGTTGGAAACTTTCATCATTTTTGTCAATATGTTCTAAGGCTAACTATCCTATCCTCCTTAGCAAAAATGCAATTTGCATTCTTTAAGAACAGACTTACTGGTACAGTAATATTTATACCAATGCCAGCATATCATTTACATATGCATATAAAGGAATGTTGTGTTTCAAGAAATTCATCTGTGAATTATTCCCAAATCCAACTATTTGGGATAAGGATACTTTTTTCTCCTATTTTTTAACCAAATAGAATAAGACTAAATTACATCTTAATGATACAGCAGTAACAAAAATTGAAGAAAATCATTGACACAATGACAGGGTATATAGCAAACTATCATATCCACCAAAGCATTATTTGCACTTCCTCATCTTTTTCTTGGATAGGATAGAGATACTTATTTATCACAGTCAGAACTGAAGCCAGCGTCAAGATTGTGAATATTTTAAATAACTCATTTTCTAGTTCAGCTTCTACCTGAAGCAGTAATTGTTGAATTAAGTGGAATTAAGTAAATAAATTGTTTTAGCATAATGCCCAAGATCTCCACTTTTTTATACTCTGTAATCATTATATAAGATACTTAAATTATGAACTTAAATGAGCATTTTTAAATTATCAACTAGTATAAAAGTGCTAATCAGTGAATAATCATCTAAAAAATCTCAAACCACAGAGTACAATCCAATCACATTTTAAAAAATAGATAACTTGATTGAGATGCAAGAAATCACAGTCCAGTTATTATAAATTGTGTGGAGGGAAAAATACTTTCACAAAACAGCTGTATTGCAGTGATACAGTTAAGTAGGCTTACTTATACCTGGCTTCTAGTTAGTTCAAGAACTGTCAAGAATTTAAATTTCTCTGATTTTTTTAAGTTAGATACTCTTTTAAATTATTACTGTAAATATTAAGAATGAACAATTTTCAGCCCTGGTGCTAGTACCTCAAAATAAATTTAATATTGCATCAAGTTGGGAATTTGCCTATTGCTATTCCAAGCCAAGTATGAATATATGATTTAATATTCAGATATTGTAAAGCTATATTATAAGACAGGCATATTCATGTTTTGTTTTAGCAGTTATTGTTGTTCAATTCCATCAATGCTATGCTGAAATTGAGGATTTCACAATATAAAGGAAACAAAAACATTTCAAACTAAAATTCATGGCATCAGTCTTTTAACTGCAGAAGTTTCAGTTCTTTGCTAAAAATGCATATTGCTTTTATCAGCTTGTGGCTTGGGACACTTTTCACTCAACTCTGGAAGTCCTTAATGAGCAGCCAAGGACACAACCCAGAGCCGGGTGTTGATCTTCGTACCTCCAGGATTTCACTGCTTCTTAGAGCTCTGCTCATTTACTACATTTCCATGGAGAAACGTGGATGTCTGTAGTTCAGCTTGGCAAAAGGCAAACAAAATGGGGACAATATTAATGAAAAGAAAGCTAGGGATTGAATGATTTTATACATTAAAAAATGCAACCAAGGGAAGTTTATACTGTTGTCAATGACTAAATCCCAGATGTGAGAAATGTATGGTAATTTACATAAGGTCATTTAGTCGCAGTAACTCTACAGTCTCTGAATAATGTGAAGTGTCTGGATTATCACTGGAAAACTTGTGTTTAGTGAAAACAAATTATTTGAAGGACAGTAGGCAAATGTCAGACATCATCTGAACTCATCAGTTTCATTCAGTTTATTTTGAGAGATGGAATCTAAGATCATCGCTGTTCAGCTGACAAGCATTCAGTGAAAAGCCAGTAATTTAAAATTCAATCTACCTTTGCATTCTTTTGCTTAAAAAACTAAATGAAATTTGTATTGAAAAGTCATAAGAAGTCAGATACTATTTACTGGCCTGCCTGGAGAAAGATGAATTACAAATATTTTGAAAACTCCGGTGTCTGGAATGCTGCCCATTTAGAAATATTCTGTATAAAATCTTGATATCTTTTCTTCTAATTGTTAACTGTATTTAATTCAACATAAGTATGGCATCCATTTTTCCTACCATTTGCCTTGATCTTATACTTTATTAGCCTATGATCCTTATTTATAGCAATTAGTGTGTATCATTGTAAGATGCACTCTAATTAAAGTTCAGGAAATGTGATTAATAAGTTATTTGTAAGTGGATTGCTTAACATGAACAGAAAGCTCTAACAGTAAATCCTACACAGACTGATCAGAAATACTTGGAGAGCTGAAACATTCCTGTTTAAATATTATTTATATCAAGTCTGACTCCTAGAAAAAAGAAAGTGCTTAATAGAGGGAATCATGGAGCCTAGTTGCATTTTTCATTATACCATTCATCCCAGTATCCAGAAACAGTAAAGAGTGTGAACAGGATTCATGCTAGAAATCAGGTGAGCAAGAGGTTTGCAAACAATATCACAGTAATTAGTGTATTTTGAGATGACAGGTAAAAGAATGCTACATGGAACAGTTGTGGCCATGTTTTAGTATGGAGATATACATCCAGATTACAACAGTATGTACACAAGAGAACAAAGTTGTAGAACCATCCAGTAACAAGAATGCTAAACAATAAAGCCCTATGGAGTCTTAATCCACTCCATATTCACAGTGTCAACGTGAAGAGAAAATAAAAAACACGAGTTGATTTTCTCAAATCCATATACTGAACTCCCACAGGCTTCATTTCTCCCATCTCTCAAGACATCTAAAAACAGCTGACTCTCTCAGTGTGTTACCCTTGTTTTCTTTAGGAGAATTCACAGTGTTCAGTAGAAAGCAGATAAAAAAGCTGCTTAGTCTATGATAATCTTATCCTGCTGCCTCTGATGGCACTATGCCTAGCGCCAGCAATGGGGGCAAAGGAAGGTTTAGAACAGCAGGCAGATCAGACTGCAAAGGCACAGTTAGACTGGTTGGATGTAGATTTGTTTTCAGAAGATAATAGTCTCATACTTAGTGCTGAGGGTCCTCTTGGAATCCTGCTTGGGCTCAACTACCCAGGATACACCAGCATGGGTCTGGGAGTCTTGGTCCTCTTCAGATTGCTCCAGCTAGAGAACATTAAAGAAGAAAGAACATTTCAGGCAACCTGTTTTCTTTGAAAGGATGAAATTAGGTGCATTTTAAAACCATTGGACAGAGACACACAGATTTGAAATGAAGATCACTACTCTAGCATTTAAGCATAATATGTGTACATGCATATGGGATATATGTAATCATCAGAAAATTTGTATCATATTTCCATAAAACAAAAATAGAATCAGCTCATTTCAGATTATGAACAAGTTAAGAATATGAACAAGTTAAATTTTGTTCAAACGTAATTATAATCTAATTGAGTTTCAGTAAAAAATAATATTAAACTGATTTTCAAGCAAAACATTCTTATGATCTACTGTACTCATATTTTTTTTATAATTTATTCTCTATCAACTCAACTTTTTTCCCTGCCAAGCTTAATCTGATCAGTCCAAATGTTGTTTACGGCACACTTCTCAAAATCTGCCTTACATAATGTAAAGTGGAATTGTAATCCAGAATGGAATAAAGAGCATCAAAGCTAAATAATGGAAGAATCTGAAGGAGATCTGGTGCGCTTAAAGAAACAGGTTGACAACTAGAAACTTGACTGCAAGAAGGGTAAAGACCTTAGTTCCTGGACTAACAGACTGCAGCGGTAGATAGGAAGGACGGTGTGTAGTACAGGTATGACAGTAACAACAGCGACTATCAGAAGGGAGCGGCACCTGAGAAGTGGGAGTAAGCAAAACACAGACAGAAGGTAAAAAAGAAGGACAGCAACCAAGAAAGAAATCTTATGGGTTAGAATTCCAGAAGATTTATTTTCTTGTTAGATTAACAAAGACTATTAATGGGATAATCTTGGAATTAAAGAATAGAAACTAAGTAGGATTTGTGTGTCATTAGTTGTGTGTTCGTGTTCCTATTGGATAAAGGGAAGCTTAAGAACAATAATGCTTATATACATATAAAAGCAGAGATATTGCTGACATGCAATGAACATAGATTCATGTTAAAGGAAAGTGTAGAGATGTCTGAGCAACAGCAATTATGAAGAAAAATATAACTTTACAGCACAGATATAAAGGCAACATTTTACTTAATATTTGCTATTTTTGTAACTTCCCATGTCACTGCAAATTAGCAATTTCATGTATAGTTCTTAGAAAATGTGAGAAATTAAACTAAGACTGGATTAATAAACCACTTTGTCAGGTCACAAGATTAGAAAATATGCTAATGATCAAATAGGTCACTCTGATCCTATTTCTGCTCTCAAATTATATTTATCAAGTAGCAATATAAAAAGGGAAAAACATAATTTGCATGGAGATATTTTTTTTTACTATGTTTACTTTTAAAACATACTTTTTTCACTTACCTGGATCTACTGGAGGGTAGGCAAAGTGTTTAGAAGTGGCTAAATGTTTCAAATTTAAAATGTTTCCAATTTGAATCTGAAGTTGAAGTTGAATGCCCCAAATAGTCTGGACCTGATTTCGAACTTGAAATAGGCTTTCAAATTCAAAATTCTCAGAATGGCTGAAACAATCTGCCTTGAGCTAAAAATTGTTTCAGCAGATAAATCCCATAAAGCTTTGAGTGGTCAAGGGATGGACAAGATATTTTAGAAGTTGAAAAGCTGCAAAACATAGGGATTGGATACCAATTCTAATATTACATTTTCTTAGAAAATCCTCTCTCAAGAACAATGCATTGTGGGTTTTCAAACATGTTCAGTTGTGATAGTATTAAAAGAGCTTGAGTACCACAGAGGGTCCACCCTTGCTCTAGACCAGAGGGCCCCAACACCACCCAGGCCACAAAGCAGCACTAGGCCGTAGCACACCAGGAATTGGGCAGCGCAAGTGTGTGAAGCCCCATTAGCACATGTGCAAGAGCCACACCATACATGAAACCATGTGCCTCTGGTCCACAGAAAAATTGCCCTCATGGAATGGTCCCTGGCACAGAAAATCTTGGGGGTTGCTGCTCTAGAGCATTTGCTGAAATAGAAGATTGAAAAAATAATAATTTTGAACAGAAAGTAGATAGGGAAAGTAGTAGATAAGTTCAGATATCACTTAGGTTCTTGCATAGTTCTATAGCAAAGGATGAAAACATGTAAGATACATACTGCTGACTTTCTCATGCTGACTCGAGGTTTAGGCACTGGTTTTGAAGATTTTGTTTCTATCATTTCTGCGGTCAAAACAGCTGGAGATTTTGATTTTTGAGCTTGAAGGGCCAACTGGTAGGCTACTTCAAATGCTTGCCCCAATGTCAGAATGATTTCATATGTTAGGTTCTTGGAAAAAAGAAACCAAATATGCACAATATTTAAAATACAAAAACATCTGTTGTATTTTACTAAGGAATTTTTATTATATTCATTCAACCAAAAAATTAGAGCTCCTAAGACACATTAGAAACATAAATAGGTTATGGATCCTTCATATTAGAAGCCAATAATAAATACCTAAAATAATTTCTTAATCCTGAACATCCTCTACACTGTATGTCTTAAACCTGAAGCTTTGCAGTGAAGCTTCTATTATTAAAAGACTTAGGATACACTTCCAAGAAACTGACTAAATGTTCTCTTATGGAATTAGCCACCCTATAACATTTGATTCCTTTAATATCAGATTTAAGCTAACTTGGTATTTAATAGTAAGTTCCTCTTTTCAGTAAATGTTAAGTGCATGTAAAATCATCCTCAAAGAATGAGTTATTGAAAGTATGGCAATATTATTTCAATATAGGAATACAATATGTTTATTATATGTTACTATATGTAACAATGTTCTGTGCACCATCGGCATTTAGTCATGCTGGCCACATGGCCACGTAGACGTCTTCGGACAGTGCTGGCTCTTCGGCTTTGAAACGGAGATGAGCACCACCCCGTAGATTTGAGAATGACTAGCACATATGTGTGAGGGGACCTTTACTGTAATATGTTTTACCTAAAGTAGAAGGGCATCTGAGAGAATTAGCAAGTATTTCAACTACAGTGTAATAAATATGAATACTGTGTCTGTTCATATATATCTGTTTTGGGATTTCCTAAAAACTGATTTTTTTGTGTGGATAGAATCTTTCACAATATGGTATTATACAATTCTATATGAGGAAAAATAAATATCAGTCTAGGTTCTTAAACAGCATATCTCCTGGTATCAATCTGAAATACATATATATGGTGTGTTAGGTTTGGCAGACACCCTACTGTCAGCTGTTTAGTTCTGTTGAACCAACATTTCAGCTTACAATTTGCTGAATATGGTGATATTTTTATAGAATATGTAAATATCCAAATATGGGAGGAGGTGTACATGGCAAGCAAGTTAAACTGTTGTAAACCCCCCCCCCCCAAATGAATCATGTGCGTGCATCAGAAATCAAGAAACAAATATGGAAGGGTGGAGCTTATATTGTGCTACTGCACACATTAATTTTGTACTGTGGCTTGGAATGGATAGCTATGGATAGAAATCATACCTCTCTACTCTGAGCACTTTGAATTTGATTTTTTTATCAATGTGAATGAACAGCACCATCAAAATTGATTTTCAACAGCAAATCAATTCCAATAGGACTCAATTAAAAGGGTTGGATAAAATATTATTAGATATTATTTCTGAGGGTGTTTTTATAGGCCATACTGAAATTCAATCTCCTGTTCCAAAAAGAGCTACTGCTGAGCACCCTGATCATCCCTACCTTGTGAGCAGGATAGGAAGGAAGAATTAATGTTGCATGAAGAAGTAGAGTCCCTCTGTGAGGGACATGGGTGGTTCTTAAAAATGGTAAATAAATATAATATGATATAATACAATATATGAGATAGTATAATGTAATATAGTATATTATAATATATATTGATATAATATATAATATTGATATATATTAATATAATATACAAGCTTTAGAAATCTTCAGTTTTATTTGTTCCTTCTCTATCCTCCTATTTCCTTGAGCTCCCCCGAAAATACACAAAGCAATCGGTCTCTGGGGGTTTATTGGAGTCCAGGGAAAAAAGTAATCCTACCCCCAATATACATTTACTGCTTTTATTGCCGAAAGATTGATACTATAGTAGAATAGAACCTAGGGGCACTGTGAGGGTTTTTCATCATTTGTGAAGCATCCAGTGTTCCACTTAATGCATGGGGAGAGCAGAGGTAGGGGTTATTTAGCCAGATGATTATGTGTGTGCCTCATTTAACAACAGTCACTACTTGCAAACATTATTTTTAAGTATTATGTTTGAAAGTAGTGACAAAATATATTGTTCTCACAACGTGTATTTGATCCTTTCATATCCAGAGAAAATTTCAAGACAAGGGCCATAAAGCACTGTAAAGTGGTATATAAGTGTAAGTACTATTGCTATATATATTGCTTGTATTCTTGCATTCTATCACTTGGCATTTACTTCCAGTTCACAGGGGATTTCATTCCAGCCCAGTAACTTAACAGATGAACATCATTAAGCAGAATCCAAAGCCTCCATAAACAAAGAACTGATTGTTATATTACTTACTACATCAACGGTACTGAAGACATGACAGTAGTGATGGCTAGTCTGCAAGTCCTTAGTGATATAGGCAAATGTACAGAGATCTTCAGGGTCTTGGGCAGCACAAGAAATGTTCCGAATTTCATGTTCAGCAATTACATTCTGCCATACATAAACAGTTGTTTTGCTCAATATGTATAGTGAAATTAACATAAGGAAATATTAACAAAACAAAGTTTCATTGGGTTACTTTGTACTTACATAAAAATCACACACTGCTCACACTGAAATTTGCCTTCTCCTTCTACAAACCATTTATCCATATAACTCAATACTGTCTACATTGCAAAACTACACTTGTAAATGTTATAGGTGTTTCAGATGAGGCTGGGTTGCCAATTTCATTGTGTAGTGGCCAGGGATTGGACTTGGGATTTCAGCATGACATTATATTGAGGCCAATTACTGCAGTCCTGCAAACTTTTATTAAGGTAACTTAGATATGCAGTTGAGGCCTCCTTTTTGTGACACAATATGTATAGGTGGAGGTTGCATATGATTGGCCAAGCTTCATGATAGAAGCAGGATACTTTAGCTTGAGTTGTCTAAGAGCAAGTGTAACAGACAAGTTACAGCTGTGCAACTCCATCAGAAGTGATAGCACTTGATAAAGAAAAATCAGTCTGACAATCTTTACAATTAATTAATTAATTACTGCCCACCTCAGCACTGAGCTAGAATTTGTCAGAATATTTTGCCTTTCTGCTGATTAGGCCTGAGGATTTGCAAAATAGATTAATATTATGTTCATGCTACTATAGCACTATCATGTGTCACTTAAGGCTGGAATATTAATCATGAACACAAGGATTTTCTTACCTTGTTAGCAGCATCTATGAACTTCACTCCTTTATAAGTAATAGATAATATTATTGTTGGGGTCTTCTTCATATGCTCAGTTGATTTCTTTATAAAAGAGAGAGAAAATAACAATAGACATAGATTAAATAATTTCTCAAGAATGGAGGTCATGTGTACAAAAGATTTCAAATTCTCTCACTTCAGTTTAATTTTCAGTTTCATAAATTAGATATTATGCAATAATGCTGTTTTATAGAGCTGCATTTCTGAAATCTGGAATGCAGTGAAATATTACATAATAAAAGAAAACAAAATCTAAATTATTGAGTTAAAAATGCTGAAAATTAAATTACATTTATAGTCACTGATACACACAAAGAAACTATATCATGAGAGACAACAATGTCAATTTAACAATATTACTATTTATCATTAAAACACTATCAAACCTTTGCACAAGTCAAATAAAAGAAACTGCATAAAGTACTGATTCAAAGTACTGATTCAACTTTCCCCATCAGGGCATTTGCAAGAAGATGCTGTTAAATCTCTCAGTAGAGATGAAGAAAAAATATCAACAATGGCTAAACTGTCTCTTATGAGACAGAAATAAAATATTAGCAAAGTGGCAATTGAAAAATATTTTCCATACAAGCTTACCATTATTTATATGAAACTAGAATTTAAATCATTTTGAAAATCTACATCAAATGTTTGCTATTTCAACTCAAACCAAAGAGAGCGATCAGAAATACTGCAAATTTTTCAGTTGAAATCATTCTCTACCAACCCTTTTGTTGAAAAATCAACTTGTACAATTAAGGGGGCTAGGAATCTTCCAAAGAATATTTATGCCAACATTTTAAGTGGCAGCACTTCATGCACACTTCTATAGAAATTAAAACAGATTCTAGTCTTAATGGAGTTGCAATATGCCAGGAACGTAAGGTTTAAGGTTTAAAGTTTATTGCATTTATATGCCGCCCTATTCCCTGAGGGACTCAGGGCAGCTAACAAACACAAAGGGGGGGGGGGGGTAAAACAAGAAGGTAATACAACAAATGAAATACTAAGAGAATTTAAAAAGACAATCAACAGTCACACAATTCGAGGGGGGGAAGGGAACTCCTGCCGATCACCTCCCATAGACTGATTAGATCTCACAGGTTAGGTCTTCTCCGGATTCCATCTGCCAGCCAATGTCGGCTGGCGACTCCCCGGGCAGAGCCTTCTCTGTCGCAGCTCCAGCCCTTTGGAACGACCTCCCCGTGGAGATCCGGACCCTTACTACCCTCCCGGCCTTCCGCAAAGCCATTAAGTCCTGGCTGCTCCAGCAGGCTGGGGGGCTCTCGAAATATCCAGCCCCACGGAAACTGTGACTGTTGTGTATTTTAAAGTGTTGTTTTGTGTATTTATCCCCTTCCCTTGTTTATTGTAAGCCGCCCGGAGTCCTTCGGGAGTGGGCGGCATACAAGACCAATAAACAACAACAACAAACAACAACTCGTCAACCCCAGGCCTGCCAGCACAGCCAGGTTTTAAATAAAGCCCTTAAAATGTAGTCTGGATAATCTTGAGAGGAGTCAAGTTTAGAATTATAGATCTGAGGATCAGCGCCAAATGATCTGTGCTTGAAGATCTTTATTGCTGCTGGAACACAATTGTTACAATTTGGGTTTTTAAAACAATGTCACAAGTGACCAGGGCTTGAAGAGAGACTTTAAAATATCCAGATTTATCCTTAATCTGTTAAAACAGTATGGCCAAATGGTAGTTCAGGATAATGAAGCTAAAGTATTTGGATTTAATAAGTTTAGTCTATATCCTGAGCAGAATCTTCAGTTATGGAGTTCACACATTACATACTTGGTATCAAAAGAATTTTTATAAATTGCACACCTACCCTCATTTTTGCACAGGCATCCTGTGTAGATTCTGTTCCTCGAAGATCTTTGATTAACATGGACCCCAGATACTGTTTAAAGCAGGAAAATAGTAAGTACTTGATAGTATAATTAAGGTCAGCACAAAGAAACAGAACAACTCCATGAGTAGGCCATAGTATTTTATTGTTATTCCTCTGTTTAGAAAAATCTTGCCAGACTAACTGCATTCTTTTGGGAATAGGCAGATAAGGGTTTCAAGAGCTGGCCTCTGTCACTTCCTCTCATGTAGGCTTCTTGCTAGACTGCTTCTTCATTTCCCCCTCTACTCTAGCTGGAGATGCTGCCACATCAGCTGATATTAACTTTGTACGGTTAATAAACCTTGACTAAACTAAGTAGCAATAGGTAAACATTTATGAGGTCCTCAAAACGATGCAACATGGTACAAAAATCAAGAATATACTTACATTGGCTTCATACTCACAGGACTCAAATATAAGTTTCTCTGGCTGATGTTGCCAGTGCTGGACGGGAGCATATGGAGTTGCCAGACTAGGAGGTCTGAGTGTAAGCTTTGATTCACGATGTTCCTCCTACAACACAAATAACTGTTCAAATCAAAACTGTTCAAATCAGAATTTTTCACTAGGAACTAATTAATAAAGAAACTAACTACATAGATTATATGGCTGGAGGCAATAACAGGGGTTAAAATAGAATGGAAACCTGAAGTTTTTTTATTAGCAATAATGCCTGCGAAATACAAAAAAGAAACCCAGTATTTAATACTACATATAATTATGGCGGCAAGGATTGCCTTTGCCCAGAAATGGAAAAACGAATTAATTCCAAGCAAAGATGAAATAACAAGAAAGGTTATGGATTGTGCTGAAATGGACAAACTAACTAAATAAATCCAGGGAAAAGAAGAATCAGAATTCTACCAGATATGGGATAAATGGTATAGGTGGATGGAGGAAAGAAACAAGAATCAATGAAGGAATATAACAAAACTCAAAAAATAATAATGAGTAAAATAAGAGGCTTAAGAATGGTGAAATCCAAATGAAATACAATAGAAAGAGAAATAATATAAGATGAGTGGTATCGATTGATAATTGCTATTAGAAAGAACAGGAAGCTCCTGTTTGTATTGTATTGTGTAAATGTGGTGTACGTCTAGGTTTTGTGTGTGTGTATTTTACATGTTTGTTAATAAAAAATAAAAAAATATTTTTAAAAAAACCAACTACACAGATTACAAATAGATTATATCTATTTCAATTTATGTATATCTAAATATAACATTAAATATATTTAATTTCATTGTACCATTCACAATGACAATAAGGTAAACTAAAATAAACTACACACATCTGTTTATGCATACAAATATCTACAGTTATGCAAAAGGTATATAAAATAATCACACTAAAATGTTTAAATAAAAATAATTCCCATATTTGTTTGGACTATAAGATGCACCGGCGTATAAGACGCACCACGATTTTGAAGAGGTAATTTATTTAAAGAAGTATTTGCACTCTGCAGGCCTCCCAAACCCTCTGCATGCCCCATTTTTTGTGACAAGCAGGGCTTTGGGAGGCTTGTAGAGTGCTCCTGGGGGCTTGGGGGGGGGGACAAAAACAAGGAAAAAAGTCCCATCTTTTGCTCATTTTTGCCCTCCCCAGCCCCCAGGAGCACTTTGCAAACCTCCCAAACCCTCTGCACGTCCATTTTTGCAAGGGGGCGAGGTTTTGGTAGGCCAAAAATGCTGTATTCAGTGTATAAGACGCATCCAGATTTTCACCCTTTTTTGGGGGGGAAGGTGCGTCTTATACTCTGAAAAATATGGTACTTAAAGGCTTAGTGAAAATCAGGATTTCAAAGATTTCAGCAAAGGTAAGTATGATGTTACTTTCTGAAATTCTTAACATTTTCAAAGTTTTAGGCTATTGATAAAAATTCCAACCAGAGTTACCTTGTGGTAAATTGAAGGGGCAATTAAATTTATAAACAAAATAAATAAAACGTGTAACTACTGACTTATCTGGTGCTGTATATGTCCTATGGTAGGGATTGTTAAAAGTCCTATTCTGAGCCCGATTGCTTTACAGAATGGATTGAGATAGGCTAATTGGATAAACTGTGGTCACAGTATACTTTAACAACTTTTTAACAACTGCTACTTTAACAACTGTTGCCTAACTAAAACATACATTCATCTGTATAATTATCAACTCTGTGATCACATAATACCTGGTCCCTTTGATGAACTATAATTGCCTCTAGGCACAGTGCCAGTGCCAAACAATACCAAGATACGGAGACAGAAACTGGCTTGAATTAATTGGCTACTCCACTGGAGGAGGAGAGAATCAATCATTCCCATCCCCAGACACAGTGTCAAGAAAATATTCAGTCATTCCCCTTTCCAAACATCCTTTTTGGAAATACACACAGATTACTGCTGTTGTTTTTACAGTGAATATCTTGATGTTATAGCCACATTGTGCAGCCAGAGAAACTGATACAGATACTGCAAGACTGGGCACCTTTTTCTATGAAGGTTGTTGCCCTGTAGTACAACAGTTTTTGGTTTTCTGCTACTTCTTAAAGTATACAATAATCTCCAAAGATAAATTATCAACATGATGTAAAGGGCTCAGATTCTTCTGACCTGTGTCCTAAACTTCTCTGCTCTTGGATAAGATGCAATATCATGGATGTTCTCATGTCTCTTCCTCCCAGCATCTTCCAAAGGAAGCAGGAGGTCTGCAGACCTCCCTGTGCAGGAGTCACTCTGGCTCAGAGGTGAAGATGTCTGGGATATCAAATCTTGGCACTGAAATTCAAGACATTGACATTTTTTTTAAAAAAAAACTTGTTTCGTTGATTATTTTCAAAGTCTTTTGTATGCATACCGAGTAGTTGGCAAAGTTTTATATTATTATGACCATTATTAAAACACATATGCAACCAAGCTACCTAGGCTCTCAGTGGCTTGTAGCAATATAAATTATATTAAAACATCCATAGTTAAGAGGGGGGAGAACACCCACCAATAATATCATAAAACAGTAAAATACTATCGAAATAAATCAAAATGGTCAAGAATCAATAAATACAAATAAAATATTGATGGTTAACAATAATTCCTTGAAGACGTTCAGAAAAATTTGATCTTTTTGCTAACTTCTGCAAGGCCAGAAGCTTTCTGGTCTCACCTTTTGCACTTCTCAGAACTAGAATGCCAGTAGGAAGTGCATTTGATTAAGCCTGTGGTCCCCAAATGGAGCACAAGAACCCTCCACTCAAGTGCCCTCAATTCGTACGAGTGGAGCTTTCCACATAACACAAGCGTCCTCCACTCAAGCGACTGGAGCTTTGCACATGCACATGCACGCTTGCCCAAAAATTTCAAATAAGGCGTGGCCCAGTAGTGGGCCATAACCCTGAGATTGGGGACCCCTGAAGTGAGCAATCCTGGAATTATCCTGGTGCCAAACCACATAAAGTTTCAAATATCAAATTCAGCACTTTGAATTCCACTTTTTAGTGAGATGTTTTTAAGGAAAATCTATTTATTTTGTAGACCTTCCTTAGTTTAAAAAAAATCTGAATGAGTAACAAGACCCATAAATACAACCACGGTACTATTCTTCACAGTTCTCTAAACTATTACTGAGCAGACATTGAAACATGAAAACTCACTCTCAATTGAGAGAACCTTGGTGGCTTCTGTGGGGGTTCCTCATATGGTCTGTCTGCCAGAGAGGCGATAATACGTTTACGGTGGCCAAGAAGATTCACCTTGAGTACCTGCAGAGATGGACAAAGTTAGCATATACTGTTACAAAAGGTTATCATGCTATGGCTCTCCCTCCTTTCCCTCAAACAGTTACAATGCTAAAGTTTATCCTAACAATGGATGTCCAAATTTTGATCTGAACTGGAATTCAATGAAATATCAACTTACATTTACTAATTCTAGCTCCCAGAGATTTTTCACTGAGTCTATAGAACTATAGCCACTCGACAGAAATGACTGAATATAATCTTGAAGCCCCAAGGAATCAAGCCACGCAGGAACTGAAGGTTGAGTTCCATCATAGCCTAGAGATTTCACCTGTGAAGAACACAAAGAGTAGAGCATTATAACTGAACAGCCTTTTCAAACATTTTAGATATTTCAATGTGATTGTTAGGTTGCACTCAACGATGCAAAGCTTTTTGAACAAAAGATATAAATAATTTGTACTGTGGAAATAAATCATTGGGCAAATGATTTAATTTAATTGGATATCAGTGGCTCTTCCTCTTTTCCATAAAGTATTGATAGAGTATCAATTATGGAAGGCAAAATTGGTGGGAAGAGGTTTAATATTTTGCCAGTATGTTAATTTTCAGTTCCAAGATGCTACCCAAATAGCTTTTGCATCAGACAACACATACACATATTTTTCTGTTCAAACCCCCCCCCCTCCTTTTATTTACTACACCTTCTGGAATTTAAGAAAAACAAGCAGATTTGTACAATAATATAGTATATTACATAGATACATACATACATACATACATACATACATACATACATACATACATACATACACACATACATACACACACTTTATTTACGGTCACAGACAAAAACACAAGTACTACAAAAGAGACATAAGAGAATTGATCATAGCATCATAGCAATCAGTCACCAAAGGCTTAAGTACTGCCTAAAGATCAGGAAGTTGTCTAAAATTGCTGAAAGAAGCAGCAATTTTTTTAGGCTCTAAAGGAAAATCTGGATCATAAATTCTTCACAAGAATTGCTATTTTCCTAAATCTGATACCATCACATGTTGCTTTGAAACTTGAATCTAAATATTGGAGAAAAGGATAACTGCAAAACATGAGAAATTTTAAGTGTGTGTGTCTGTGTGAGGGGGAATTACTTCTTCTACTATTTTCTGCCAGTCTTCTGGGCAAACTATGTTTGAAGATACCCTGTTTTCCAGCTCACTTAATGCCAGTTGCTGCAGCCATTCAGGAAATATTACACATAGAGATGTGTAGAGGTTTAAGTTTCTGGCAGTTTTCCTTTTCATGTGAATGTCTATGGCCATGCATTCCTGTTCTAGTTATGTTATGAACAAAATCCCTACAATAGAAAACTAATGTTAGAGGGTATAATATTATTTGTTTCTATCTCTTATTTATGCATTATTTTCAAAATATAACTTCTAAGCAGCAACAACTTTTTGTTTTATCCATTAATTCCATCCGTTAATGGATTAATCAGCTGTATGCAGAGTTGTGTAAGAACCTATTTGAATCTCCAGTTTACTCCAGGTTACTGTCTCAAAAAGGTCTTGATTTAAGAAGGAAGGTACATGACAAATTCTATGATTTTACACTGAATAGATGGCTTTTGTTTTCTCCCAAATCCTGCCTTACGGAAACCAATGTATATAAAGCACAAGTGGTAAAAATCAGATCGTGCCTTTAAACTTCCCTATGTTTTCTTGGAAAGGTGATTTAGCTATTATACTGTACTAATTTGCTAGCTACTCCCAGACTATTATAGATAGAGCACTGTCTTTAATTCTACAAACTGCTGACCTGTCCCCTTTTACTATTTTTCCAGTTTATGTATAACTTAACTATATAAGTCTGACTTCATGCCAGGATACAAAAACCACTCCTGCTATTTAGGGAGAAATAATTTAGGGAGGAATTCAAAAATCAAGAAAAAAATCCCATTTATGACCGGTAAAACTTGCCAGCACTTATCTCTTGGAAACATGTAATTTCAATCTATTCCATATAGGAAAAAACATTTCCAATGACCCTTAATGAATAGATATAACTTGGAATTCACAACAATTCAACTAGAGAAATATTCAGCATGGCCATTTGATGCTTTGATACAAGGGTTAACATGCTGTCGATAAAAAGTTGGCAGTTCAAGACCCAAGCATTGGGTGATGGGGTGAGTTCCCATTATTGCCCCAAATCTTGCCAACCTAGCAGTTCAAAAACAGCAAATCTGAATAAATAGTAACACTTTGACGAGAAAGTAATTGAACCTCAATATGTAGTCATACCAGCCACATGACCATGGAAGCATCTTCAGACAACTCCCTTAGCTAGGAAATGCAGATAGACACCACCCCCTAGAGTTGGACATGACTGAACAGAGAAAACATTTATCTTCCCAATACTGTACAATTTGACCTCCTACATGAACGTTCTTTTATGCTTTTTCAAAAAGTGACAATATTAAATAAACAGGTAACCATAGTGTTATAGTGACATTGGAGAAAAACAGTTCAAAGTCCCCATCTATGCATGAAAGACAGAATGATCCCAGGTAGCAACAGACAGCTCTAGTTGTTTTTAGGCTGAAGCCTATGTGAAAGCTGCCTGAAGTCTGCAGGTTGCCCTGCACCTTCATAATCTCAAATTTACTTAAAAGTTTAAGTAATGCTAAATATTTAACATTAATTAAACTTTTTCTGTTAGGGAGTTTTGTTCTTTTTTTAATGTGTTTTATTTTCAAATCTAGTCTATGACCAAAATAAACTGTATTTTAATATTTTAAGAAATTCCTTGTGGTTTTCTATCCATCATTACACTGGGATTAAAACACACTTTTTCTGCATATAAACATAGATTATTATTTTAACCTTAGGAAGGGAACGTGCTGCTTGGAGAAGTTTTCTGCGGTGTTGTGGATCATTAATACCAATTTCCCGAAGATCCTGATCTTCCATAACATTACATCCCTACAGAGAATAAGAAAAAGACATAGTTAGAAATACAATTCTGCTTAAGACCAATAAATGCAGGACTTACTATGAAACATAAAATTCAACTTCGTGAAAACCTTAAAAGTACAGCCATAACAATGAATGTACTTAATATTCTATTGCAGATGATACCAGTGAAATTTGAAAATAAAGTATTAAATGACAGAGACATACAACAAATCTTACATAGTCTAATAAAAGAACAGAGGGTTAAATTTTACCCTCTTCTCAACCTTAGCTACTTTAAGATATGAAGTCACATGTTCTAAGTTGTCAAGTTTAAGAAACACTGTAGTACTCCAGCAGTATCAAATTTGAAACTGCATTATCAACCAGTTGCCTATCCTGAATTATAGGGTTTATTATTTGGTTTCCTCTATTATAGGAGTATATCCCTAGGGATCTGCACAAATACCTTTGGAGTGACACAAAGCGAAAAAGCTTATAAGAGATTATGTAATAAAAATATATTAAAACTGGGATAAACACAGGAAAAGAATCAGTCCAGACTTATCATTTCCTGGCTCACTATTAAATATTTATTTTGACAAATAGGAAACTGTAAAGAAATTATAGAGTCAGTATGGTTAAGTGATTAAGATTAGAAACCAGGAGACACTGAATTCTAGTCCTGCCTTAGGCATGAAAGCTAGCTGGGTGACCTTGGGCCAGATTCTCTCATCCCAACCCATCTCATCGGTTGTTGCGGGGAAAGGAGGAGAGAAGAGTATTATGTAATGAATAAATAAAATAACATGATTTGTTTAAATAATGTGCAAAGAACCTGGGAAACCAATAGGAAAACTTTTAATCGTATGTCCAAAATAGACATTAATGTTTCTCCATTCTCTCCATTTCTACATATAGGAGTTGCGAGCATGATTAGGATGGATGAGGCTTTCCCAATGTTTGTCCCGATTCAAATTTCCCCAGTTGCTAATTGTGCCTTTAAAAAAATAAATATACATATTTAATTTTCCTAAGAGAAAAAATCCAGTATTATATTTTATGTGATTTTAATTAGAGAAAATGTCATGAAATGGATAGCTTTAATTTGACTCTCATTGTGGATGCAAAAAGAAGTGGCATGTTTCCATGGCCTGGCATGGGATCAAATAATTTTGCTGAGCTTCCTACATCAAATAAGAGAAGACACAGCATGTGAGCTGGATGGAATCTGTCCTTGTAGTATATATGGTAAGAGAAAAAGGAAAGTTCAACGCTGTAAGGTTACTAGCACAGTTGTTCTCAACCTTTTATTCACCACAGACCTTCTTTAAATACCTTTTATGGCCACAGACCCCCAAGATTTAACACAATATTTAAATCATAACATTTCTTCAAGCCTTTGCTGACCCCTTGTGATGACATTGTGGGGGCCCCAGGGATCTGTGGACCACAGGTTGAGAACCACTGTACTAATATATGGAATGTCAGAGCTGTGAACCAAAAGAAAGTAGATTTTGATGGAGAAGAAATGTTAGGATTTAACACTGACATTATGGCAAACTGTAAAAAGAAATCTCTTGGAATGGATCATTTCACATCAGAGAAGCATCAGACCTTTTATTGTTAGATGCAAGAATCATTACATGTAGTCCTCAAGATACAACCATAATGGAGCCTGTCCATCATGGTTGCATGTTGTGACAGCTGTTAAGTGAGACAGCATTGCTTAATAACCAGCACTCTGCTCTCCCTGCTGTGACCATTAAAAGAATGTGCTAGTCATTAAGCAAAGAATAGGAATTTTCAGGGGTACGGGAGAACCTGGGAACCCAAGCACAGGCCAAGGACCAAAATATAACTTTGTTTTGAAAATAAGCATTTGCTTTTGAAACAACATGAAAAGAAAGTACTGTATTTTTTGGAGTATAAAACGCACTTTTCCCCTCAAAAATAGGTGAAAATCTGTGTGCGTCTTATACACTGAATATAGCATTTTTGGCCTCCTGAAAACCCACCCCCTTTGCAAAAATGGCTGTGCATAGCCTTTAGGAGGCTTCCAGAATGCTCCTAGGGGCTGGGGAGGACAAAAATGAGCAAAAAATGGGCCGTTTTTGGGAGGTCTGCAGAGTGCAAAAACTTTTTTTTTTTATTTGCCTCTTCAAAATCTTGGTGCGTACTCTGAAAAATACGGTAATCGTAATAGTGATTAATTGTAACTTTTAATTGAACTACATTATTACTACTTTTTATTGTGTATTGTTGTAATAGGTTCACCGACAAATGCGCACCGACAAAACCACTGCGACAAAACAGTGACGTTGAAAGCGCGCCCACTAAAGCTCATCGACAAATGCGCGCCGACAAAAGTGCGTCATCGAAAACAACGCGAAAACAATGGTAACAATGTTAACAACCCTAACCCTAGGTTTAGGGTTACGGTAAGGGTTAGGGTTGTTACCGTTGTTTTCACGTTGTTTTTGATGGTGCGCTTTTGTCGGCACGCATTTGTCAACACGCTTTAGTGGGCGTGCTTTCAACGTCGCCGTTTTGTTGTGGCGGTTTTGTCAGCACGCATTTGTCAGGCGTGCATTTGTCGGGTCACGGCTGTAATGTATGTATGTATGTATGTATGTATGTATGTATGTATGTATGTATGTATGTTGTACCCATTTGGCTATTGGTGATGGCTGTTACTTCCACATAGTGCTTAGAATTGGTACACTGAAGCCAGCCTCCCATACATTCACAGTCAGTCAGAAAGCACTTATGAATCTACTTTCTTAAAAATATGTTTCCCAAACTGGATTTTTCAGAGAAGTCTCTGGGGCTAAATCTTGATTATTTGTCATCTACTGGAAGACACAGGAAGTACTCAATGTCTTCCTGTGAACATTTCCTAGAGCAGGAAAGGACATCTTTCACCAAACTTCTAAATACTTTCCACTTTGATTTCTGCTTGGAATAAAGCTTTGAATGTAGTGTTTGTTTATGTCTGGGCAGCTTTTTTGCTCCAAACACTGCCTAGAAAAAGTGAGGAATAAAGGCTGGATCTGTCCCAAAACCCTGTTTATTATTCAGCTAGCTAGATCATTGACACAGCATTCATTTCCTGTATTTTTGCAAACAGCGAAGCCAGCATACTTTTCTACTATAATTATTTTTAAGAAGAAGCTTCAACAAGATATTTTGCTAAACAGTTTATAAAAAATACAGTTCCCTCCATTAATCAACATCTCTATGGCTTCAACTAAAGCTGATATAAAATATTGTGAAAATGTTCTCTTTACAAAAAATCTGTACTAATTTTTCTTTACAATAGCTCTCCAGTTTCTCTATTTTTTTCTGGGCATGTTCAGTAGGCAATAGAGAAGAACAGAGTGATGACTTTTAAAATTATAATTATTGCTTGTTGGTATAATAGGGATATAGTCCGGATTCTAGTGATGTACATGCTTTGGAAATGACTCAAAGAAGTGCTTCAGGTTCATCTGAGCATTTCCTTTATGTTCATTAAAGCAGCCTTTTTTCAGGCTTCCATATAAGTCTGGAAACAGAGCAACTGCTTTAAGTATTTAATTCATTAAAATGAAATATTCTTTAAAAAGCTATCTCTTTTTTCAGGATCTCATAGAAGCCTGGAAAAAGAAGAGGCTAATTTAATGAATAGCAGAGAGGAGCTGAACTCACATAATACCAAAGGCAGTTTGTATTACAAATTGCTTAGGAATGATAAAAAGTTTGCTGCATCTATTTGGCCTAAGACAGTAATGCATGCTATAGATATTCACTGGTTTGTGAGTGGTGGAAGTCCTCACACTTTGAAATATAATTCACTTTGAAAGGTAAAATGGCAAGCCCGTTTAGCATTTTACACACCACTGGCCAGTCATCTGTCAGAACAGCAGGAGGGAAAAACATTCCTTTAGCTGTACACCTAGGAAGACTTCTGTTAAAATTAGCATTGGTGCATCTTCAGTGAAGACAAGCTGAAGTATTACCTAAAGTGTTTTGTTTCCTATCCAACCTTCTTAGAAACAATTTATCAAATTAAACAAACCCAGGACTAAACTTTTCAAGACAGTTGTAACAGTGGATTTAAGGGAACACTATAATGAACACAGAGAAAAAGTTATTGATTTTTCCTAATAGTTGAATCATGCAGATAGTGAATATAAAAACATAAAATTCATTATTAACGCAATAACTGATGGTACTTGACTTTGCATATCAAAACTTTGATTGTCTTGGCCCATACTGAAACCGGAAAAGAAACTCACACATTAGGCCATCTTATATCTTTCATGCCCTCTCCTTTCTCCTTCGTTTGGTGAACATCAACAACTTAGAAATTAATGGGTATATTAGGTCTTAGCGTATTCACAGAAAATATGGCAACCATATATGTATTTTTAAGAAATAAAAAGATTTATTCTAGCTATCCAATATCAAAATATATATAGCTTATATTTTTAACATTATATTCTAAATATATTTCACATAAGCTTTAGAATAGATGTTACATTAATCGGTTCTTCCATTTTTATAATTTTGATTGTTTTGAACATTTATATTATTATTTTATAAGCATATTGTTATGTTTAATCAACAAAAGAAAAGATATATTTATAAAAGGTAACGGTAAAGGTTCCCCTCGCACATATGTGCTAGTCAGTCCCAACTCTAGGGGGTGATGTTCATCTCCATTACAAAGCCGAAGAGCCAGCGCTGTCCGAGGACGTTTATGAGGTCATGTGGCCGGCATGACTAAACACCGAAGACATGGCAGCTTACTGCTCATTGGGGCAGTAAGACATCCAAGACCCATTAACACTGACAAGGCAAACCACTAGAATATAAATTGAGAGAAAATCCCACTCCTTACTAATATTGTTGATGTTATCTAGTTTGGGTAATGAAATGTCTGCATAAAATCTATGAAGCTCAGAGAGCACCTAGGATCCATCATTTTAACCCTGAGCTACAATTATTCTCCTTTAATGAAATGCCAATATTTTCATCCAAGCTGTTGCCTGGATTCTGCTTGGAGTAGATGTCCTGAAGGTACTTTGGCACCCAGCCATTTAGCGCTTTTTTGGTTAGACACAGCACTTTGAATTGCACTGGAAACTTACGGCAGACCATTGCAAACACAGGTGTAACATACCAGTGTTTGTGGCATCTGGCACGAATTACACATAGGCCCCTTGCATTTTGTACTTAGCTCTATTTCTGAATGGTCTTTCAAGGAAACCCTGTGTAAAATGCATTGCAAGAGTTCAACCAGGGGATTAAAATTTATAATTATGAAAATCCTCAGATCAACTATTGCCCAAACAGTATATTCTACTGTGAAAACTGAAAATCAGTGTTGCACAGATGAAATCTTCTGGTCCCAATACCCTTCGGACCAGAGCAAGATGTTTCATGGGTGGAAATAAAAAGTTGTTTATAAGTCAGCACTGAGTGATAGTAGTAAACTTAGTAAACTGGTAAAATACCTGACTGAAATGACAAATGTAATTGATAGTTCATTGTATGACTACAATTTGATGAATTGTTTCTACCAAGTACATCATCTGAATTAGCCTTTCAGGCCTCCCCCATATAGTGTCTGAATTTTATAAAAACGAATAGGACGCTAGCAAAATACTTCCTTCTTTTTCCCAATACATTTGTTACCAATGTTATCCACAAATAGGAGGGGAATGTCGTATATTACAAAAACCATGGTTGTCTTAATCTGTTTATAAAAACCATAGTTTTTATAAAGTAGCACCTAGCAAATTAGCTTCCCTAGCATTGAGAAAAGAAAAGGGCAGCTGACTGTTCCTTTCTTTGACTCCAGAATTTAATTTTCCCACTTACTATATGAATTGCCTAATTTAAATGGACCATGAATGATATGACCTATTCATTACTCTCTAAGATCAAGCCAAGGACCATTCACAGGTTATGTTTTATGTTGAGAAATGAAGTAATTGCTCTAGAAACATCACTCTCAATTTGGTTATATCTATCAGGAAACCGTAAGGTTCATCATATGCAATATTTACAGAGTATTGCACCCAATCCTCTTACCAAGCATTATTTTTGATTTTGTTGCAATCAAAACTGTTTCTAATTTATTTTCAAGTTTTTGAAAATTATCATTGGAATGATTAGTGGAAAGTAATCTATTTTAAACTCAATATAAAGCAGAATATTTCAAGAATTCCTTTCTGATTTTCTATGTTGATTCTATATTGATATAGTTAGAAATTTCTCAACATTAAGAACAAAATATACACATATTTTAGGCAATGTTACCTACCACAACAAAAAAATGCTGTTTTATCATTCTATGAAAAGAACCTAACTTAATTTATATTATGGCTGAAGCAATTAGCTTAATAGCCATCTGGCAAAATGAAAATCATTATTCAATGTACTTAGTTACCTTGTATATCAGTGAGATTTAATGTAACTCCTTTGTGCCAATCCGTTACAATTATATAACTCTAAACTCACTAAAAAAAACCTTGAAAAATTAAATTGACAAAATATGAAACAAGGGACCATAACTTTCTAGAACATTCTTCCCAATTTAACTTAAGGTACCCAGTCCATAAAATACTTAATATTTGTTAATAATGGTTCAGTATAAATTATTTTAAAAAGATAATATGGTTCTTTTATGAAATCTATTAACAATATTGAGAATGAACACTTTGGTCAACAGTAGCATCTATAATAAATGTCTCTAGTATGGATAATTGGGATCCATGCCCATGATTCATACAAGAAAGAATATCAATGACATGAGAGCGAGTAGAAAATCCAAGGTTGGATTTGTGCAATATTTCATTTGTATTTAGTTCTACTTTAAATATCTGAAAAGTAGATATTCAGCGATTAGAATTTTCAACATATTTTTATTTAAGAAAAAAGAGAGGGCTAAAGTAACCAAATTGCACTTATGCATTCTCACTTTGTGCACAGGAATCAAAATTATTAGCCAAGTATTGAAAGTTCACAACTGGAGTTCTTAAGAGAAGGCAGCATTTCCTATTCCTAATATAGGGCTAATGAAAAAAAATAAGAATATATATATATATATATATGTATATGTATATGTATATGTATATGTATATGTATATGTATGTGTGTGTGTGTGTGTACATACACACACATACATACATATACACATATACACACACATATATTTGTGTTTCTGTGTGTGTGCATGCACACAAAATGTTACTGCATACATTTTTACAATACAACAGCCTCAAAAATGTTGAGAAAAATTAAAGGATATTCTTTCTGCTATAGTTAACTAATAATGTTTTATGAAAATGAAAAGAATACTGTAGTGTAAAGTGTATAGGTTCCCAAACTTTTAAAAAGTTTAAAAGATTACGTGCTAGGACTAGCAAACATCTCTCCTTGTTTCAGCACAAATAATATCTAGGAAAAGTGCATGTGTTAATAGGAAATAAAAAATTCTCTTCAATTCATCCTTTTCAGAAAAAAATTAAATATTCAAAAGCTTTTCTATAGTGTTGAAGTGGGAAATTACTATAACTGGAGTTTTGATAAATATGTGTGATTTAAAGCTAATACACAATAATTGAATTTTAAAGATTGTTAAAAAAATAGTTTCAAATAAATACAAAAGTTTTATAAACAATAACTAAACTTAGATGTCTTCCTCTAACATCTCCTCACCTATCCCAATTTTGGCATGATTTATCAAACTTCATGACACAACAGAACAGTCATAAACAAAATGAAAATATTTTAATTCCCGTATGCTTGTCCCAATGTAACTTGATAATTGGAAGGCAAAACCTTGACATAATCTGTTACAAAACTAGCAGATAATACTACCTGCTGTCCCTACCACTTTCTAAAGTGATGGTTTGACCACAGAAATAGTCAGAATTAAAGTAGTGTTCTGCAACATATTATAGTGTAATCTAGATTTGTAGTTAGATTTCTGTTTCTCAGTTTCAGACCTAATTAGATATTTTTGAATAATAAAGAGTTTTACAAGTAGAAATCTAACCAATTCAGGAAATATATTTTGGGCTTCTATATGAAACATACTGAACAAAGAGAAACATATTCTCTAATTTATTTTCCCCCTCCCCAAAGTAATTCAGAAACCTCTGTTTCAAAGCTGGAATTTCACTAAATTTATTCTACAGTGGACTTGCAAATGTGTATTTTATATACTGAAGATTGATAATTCACCATCTGACAATACTTTCCCCATGGTTAAATGTAAAAAAAAATATGACAAGACAATTATATTAAATCACATTATCCCCCAGCAATCTTCCTTTCTGTTATGCCAATGAGTACAAATTATCCAGATGCTGATAACTAATGTTCAGCAATATCAACTATATAAATGACATTCTATTTTAAGAGAAGAAATGAATACCAATGCAGATAAATGGTGTATTTTTATCATAATTAAGATGGCTAGGGCTAAAGCTTCTTTTGTCCCAATAATGTTGTTCTGAAGTATTAGGCTTAGCAATGAAGACAGAATATTTAAAAAAGGAAATATATTTACATCCACAGTGAGGATATACAATATATTGGAGATTAGATATTTTTGTTTTCATAGTATTTAGCATGTAGTATATATTTGAACATTGCAGGCATTTACCAAACAAGCAACTAAGTATATTCAGATATGTTTTAATATATTGGCATCTCCATTTAAGGTTACAGCTCAATTTTCCACTTGTCCTTCTTCCTAGATAGCTATACAACTATCCTTAATGAGAATCACTCTTGAACATCAAATTTACAGGACAAACCTACACTCTAAAAAAAGAGTCCAGCATTTATCATCAGTCAGGACTGTTCAAACTTTTTAATCCGAGAGTGAAACATTGTGAAAATATACCTGTAGGATAGGTAACCTTTTATACTTTTCTCTGTTGATTTGAATATGTTTTTTTCCAAAACCAATGGACTTGTTCAACAAATCCCTTGTCATAGATTGTCAGGTAGTTACTCACCAGGAAGCGGACATCATCGAAGCCATTGAGAAGCAGTTTACTTTCGTACTGCTGTAAGCCGATGGACTCCAGCCACTCCCCAACACTCTGCTCCAGCATCCGTGAACCTGATGAAAGAGGAATCGGCAGACGCTTGAAAAAGGAAAACCCATTAAGGCGGTAGCAGCGGCACTCTGAGGAAGAGAAGTGGCATTGCCACATCATTGTCATTATCATAAAGGAGCCAAACCAGGGCCAGAGGACAATTAGATGGCAGACAGCTCCTCTTCTGCACACCGACCATGAACAATAAGCTTCTGTCCTGTTCAATCTAGAGCATTAATTTGACTCTCAGTTATATTTAAAACTCAGAATCCAGGTTGTTTATAATTGTCCCTGTAGTCCAAGCATTACATGCATTGATTTCCTGGCTTGAGGTACGCTTCTCACCAGGTATACGCATTCCAAACCTCACAAGAATCTTGGTCAGCTCACTCTTTCATCTGCAGGGGCTGTAAACTTTCCAAAGCAGAGGAAAGGATTCCAAGCCAGAGCTAGTAAGAAGAGCATCCAGCTCACAAATACACTTAACCCAGCAGACGCATTCATGCAACTTCAACTTGAGATGCATTACTTCAGATTCATTACCTTGTGCAATAGTAAGGAAAACTGTTAACACTGGAGATGCAAAGCAGTTAGAGAGAAAATATATCTTCATGCAGTTGAAAGAAGCAAACAGACACAATAGGAATTCGGAAAAGCAACATCAGCCAGATTAATGAGCAGCTGTCCAAAGAAGACATGCAAGACAACACACACACACAAACACACACACACACACACACACACACAGAGCAGTAGAAGAATAGAGACTTATACTTTTTTTCCCCCAACAGTCCCGAAACAGGCAAACCATGATAAGGATTCTTCTTTGTTATTTTATTACAAGGAGCAGAGGCATGATTGATAAGCCTAAGCTCAGAAGTCCTGCCACTGTCACTCTACTACCTATCCAGATATATGACATTTTGATAGCCTGTACTGATTGAACTGGGTTGGGAATCAACACAAACATTCAGATTAGAGCAGAAATAAATATACTGGAACAAAATGAAAAGATTCAGTTCATTTTCCATCCAAAGTCTGCTCCTGACAATTCTTTGTCAACTTTCATTTGCCAGTCCTTCATCTTCTTCTGCAAAAGGCAAGTACTACTTTCACATTCCTCACACAGATAAACAAGTAGTTCTCAGAACAAAGCCCTTAAAGTCCTGGATTTAAGAGGGGGAAAAACAACAACTGCTGAACATCCCCCACCCGTCCTCTGTAGCAGTTAGGATCAGATACGTTCTGACACCTCCTTTTAACCAGTTAATGAGAAATAAGTTCTTCAAAGGCCAACAGAAGCAATGCAAAATAGCTCTTCTTTTCTCTCTATAAAAGAAGAAAGTCTAGGAATTTGTTACTTTCCTTTGCTGAACAGGAGATGCTCGATGTAAGCAGGAAAGTTCAAATTCCACAGCTTTGCAGTCCTTAGGTAAATTGCTATGCAAACCACAATTGGAAGCTATGCAAAGTAATTCTTCTTTTGTCTATGCCTAGGAAAGTCTAGGAATTTGTTACTTTCTTTTGTTGAAACTGGAGGCATTTGATGTAATCAGGAAAGTTCAAATCCCGCAGCTTTGCAATCCTCAGATAAATTGCTATGCAAACCACGCAGTATTTTCTCAGCCTTCTTAGCATGCCCGCTCTTGAAGACAAATTTGCACAATATTGGTGATGACACTCGGGTTGCAGCCTTTGAACCCTGTGGTTATTTGAAGTTCTGCACATTTAAAACTAGACCCTGCTCCTTCCTCTCTGTGATGCCTACACAATGCAGGGCTGGTTGTTCTCTGAATAATTGGAAAGGGTTCGAAATCCTGCTGCACTGGCCTGCAGAGAAGATCCTCTGTTAAGCAATGTTAATGAGTGCCCGGGAGCTGGCCTCCCTTCTTAATGCATACTGCAGCACCAGGGATGCAGCGCTCAGGAAAGGTTTCCGCCTCTCTTCTTTGATAAAGCCTGGCCAAAGGGTGATTGACTCCCCAAATTCGAGCCGCAGCCTCTGTCTTGTTCAGAGAGTCTCTCGTTGTACTGGACAATTTCTTTTCCACTCCATGAGCAGTCAAAAGGACAGTGCTATTTTCCCAGGCAGGCATATGTGTGTCTCTTTCAAAAAGCTGCAGCAGACTGCTTTGTCTAAAGGCGGCTAGCTAGCTCCACACTTGCTGCATCTCTCCTTCTCCCAGTGGCTGTGCCCTTCCCTCTCTCCTCGTGCCCACACCCCTCCCAGCAGAAGCAGTGATCAGATTTCAGAACAGAAGCTCGCAAAGGAGAAGAAAATAAGCCTCCGTAATACCTACTTTAAATGTACAGAAGGGATTCAATGAGCCTGAGCTACACCATTGGGTTTTACAGTGTAAAGCTGACATAATCTGTTAGGATTAATTTATCAGGGGTAAACTGAAGAAAAATCCCGATTCAGAAAGTAGGTACAGTTGAAGGCAGGTAAAGGGGAATTAGACAGAAACACACAAAGCTATCTTTGTCCACTGAACCTTATGTACTCGTATGCGAAAACTGCTGTGCCTGGAATTTTTAATAAGATTTTTTGCCTCTATTAAGTGTGATGATGTAACACAAGGATAAAAGGTATGCTTTCCAAAACTGTGAGGGGGGGGGGCACAGCTTGCTTACAGAGAAGAAGAACTGACAGCATCAAATGGTCCTACTTTGATAGCAGATTTTATAATCTTTAGAGGAGACTAGCAAAGTATTAGGCACACTGTCTTGAATATCAGCAAAAGAGACAACTGTATTAGCATTACAAGACTTGTGCAGATGCAAAATGTTTGTGTAGAGAAGATGTATGTGAAAGGGACAACTTGTTTAGGTAATCTCAACTCATGATGTCTATGCAAAATCAACTATAATTGTTAATTCCTGTGCAAATATATCATGTGGGATTGTAACTGCTTAATCTTCAGGTAGAATGATTTTGACAAGCAAAAGCAGTTATTATTTAAATTCATGGCTGTAAACCATGATAGGACTAAGACTATTGCAGGGACTCTTTAATACTTTTTTGACATATGTCAAATTATAATGAACAGAATGCATATTAATTTTATTTTTTGGACAGGAAAGTTCATGCAGTCAGGAGGTGGCCACTAGAATGGAAAACACTGCTGTCAAACTTAATTAGATAAATTGGAATTTAAAGTTGTAGAATGCAAACTGAAATAAAAACCTGATCTAGAAGGACTTCTAAAATAATTGTTTAAATGTTTTTAAAATGTACTTTACTAGCAGTATCCCATATGAATTCTATGTAGCATTAGAAGCTTCCAGCAATGAAAGTTGTAAACTCTTTAGAACTATTTGTAATCACACAATACTGTGATTAATGGTGTGATTTAAGCTTCACCAAGTCTAATTAATACATAAAGAATTCTGGTTAATAAACACAAAATAGTGTACTATATCAGGTTTTTATTCAACACTCTGAGCCAATATTCAATGTTTTCACTGGAATAATATTTGAAGTTTTAAATAAATAAAAAAACTCCTTTAGTAGCAGATTAAATATACCCTGTATCTGTTATCAGGTGCCAGTCTGCGATCCGGGGGTTGGGGAGCCCTGCTGTAAAGCACTATGGAACAATATGTAAGTGTTATACCAGTACTGCTATTGCTATTGCTTGTGATGGGAGAGATTTCATACTTTAGGAAAACTTAGAACCTATCTATATGGGGAAGTTTATATTGAAAAGTACACAACCCACATATCCCAGTGGAAAATAACAAATGTTCACAACCTGTTCAGCAAAAGGCTTCCATGTATTTTAGTAAAATAAAATCAAGATCAATAATAATATTGGTATTAACATCTGTCTAGAAAGTCCTAATGTGTTTAGTTCAAAAAAATTGGAATATCTGATTATTGGGGGGAGGTACCTCCAAGTCAGCCTTGGCTCCTGGGGGAATGCCTGGACAAATCTCTGCAATTTTCTTGGTAAGAATTTGGATATGGTTTGCCATTTCCTGCTTCTTCGAACCGTGATGGAATAACTGGCCGAAAATCACTCAAGTGGTTTTGAGCTTAAGGCAGGACTAGAACTCACAGCCTTCCCATTCCTAGCATGGTACTTTAACCATTACATGAAACTGGCTCTCTATGTCTGATATTAGGCATGACAAACAGCCTTATCACATACGTTTTCATAAATGACGGCCCACTTCAGCAGAGAAATAAAATACAACCCCGAGAAAGTATAATATGCATGCAGAAGAACGGAATCCCTTGACAAATCCCTTTTATCCCGTGATAAAAGATGAAGTAAAGAAGAAGGGATACCAAAGAGATGAGAAAAGGAGAAATGAAACAGAATTACCTTTGATTAAAAAGATGGAGAAAAAGAGGACCAATCAGATGCAGCACAACACCACAGTTTTGAATGCTAGGTAATTCATACATCACTTTATATACAACTTTTGAAACTTGGGAACTAGCTCAACAAGCTGGAAGTTGACCCTGAATATCATCGGATTCATTTTACAAATTCAGAAAGACAACAGACTATAATAGAGATCATAGATTCTGGTTTTTCTAAGAAAAACATTGCTCATTCAAGTAAAACAGCTGTTTCTCTGAATCCTGGAAATGACGAACAGAAGGGGAAGAGGAGCAACGATACAATTCCTATCTAAACAATACCTCTAAGAAAAAAATTAGTACAGGTAGTCTTCGACTTATAACAGTTCATTTAGTGACTGTTCAAAGTTACAACGGCACTGAAAAAGTGACTTATGACTGTTTTTCAGACTTACCTTTGCAGCATCCCCATGGTCACATATCAAAATTAAGATGCTTGGCAACTGATTCATATTTATGACGGTTGCAGTGACCTGGGGTCATGTAATCACCTTTTGTAAGCTTCTGTCAAGCGGTCAATGGGGAAGCCAGATTCACTTAACAACTGTGTTACTAACTCAACAACTGCAGCGATTCCCTTAACAACTGTGGCAAGAAAGGTCCTAAAATGGGGCAAAACTCACATAACAAATGTCTCACTTAGCAACAGAA